CCCCCCCCCCCCCAACAAAAAAAAAAAAAAAAAAAAAAAAAAAAAAACACATCACCGAGATGAATCTCTAACCATGGCAACAGCTCCATAACCGGATTTCTTTTTCGAAATTTCCCGACAAATGGGGGGAGCAAAACCTCCTGCGTGTAAGGGTGTAGATATGTTTCATAGGATTACAGAGCTCTATTAACGCTGGCCAGATAAAACATCTCAAACGTATTTACAATAGTACCCTTACACGGCAAGTCGAGAGAGTCTTAGCGGGCAGCCGCAGCGGCGCCCGGCAGCAAGCTGGAGAGAGTGGGCACTCCTTGGCTCCTCATTTCCTCTTGTGCCCTCTTCATTTCCTCTGGATCTGTGTTCACCACACACACGCATTCAACAAAAAAAACGGTCCATAAATCTGAATTTACCAAGTTTCGGTTTTAGCAATGTTTACTATGAGATTTGCATAAGTTTTGGGCCATGAAATCGTAAAGGGGCAGAAGTACACAAGTCCAACGCCAAAGGACAATGCTGAGGAGAACTCAAGATCACAATGTACTGTTCGGTTGGTTTTCCCAAGTAGGTTGGTCATAGAAAGAAATTCTTCACTCGCAACGCAATTGGATTATATAAGTCGAGGGTTCCGAGAAAAGTACCTATGTTTTCCATCAGTTTGGGCATTAGGAACACAACCACGACCATAAATCCGACCATGAGACCCATTGGACTTTTCACGATCGATATTATGGAGAAAGGCTCTCTTATCTGCAATGCTACACCATCGAGTCAAATTGGAGATACAAAGAGACACAGCTACAAATAAAATGATGAAAAGGCGGGAGGAAAGCATTGCCTCGTAATATTGCTCTTCCTTCAACGGTTCTAAAACCAACTCAGTGAGACTCCTTCGGGTTTCAGTCAGTGTTGCTTGAACCTTACCTCGATGCCGAGCACTAACATCAACCCGTACCTGATTTTTGCATTATGAATCAAAAGGATGAGAACTGAAATTCTTAAAGATTGTGGTTCTGGAACACAGTATCTGAGAACACAAAGATTCATCTGACCGGAGAAAAGAAGTAGCCCAGTGCTGACACTTCGATCAAATGAGTCCCAGCTGGTACATTGTGACTTTCAGTAACATAGAGTCAAGGAAAAAAATGAAGCTCTTATCTTGTTTTCATAGCAGGATATGACATTTAGAATACATGTCATATCCAGCCACATTTTATACCAAAAGAACATGAGTGAGTTAAAACTTCAGTTCGATTCTGATGTACATAAAAGACATGTACAAATTACAAAAAGCTAATCATATAATGCAGATAAAATTTCATCATTTATGATATAATCTGAACCCTAACTCCACAAAAACTAATTCGAGTGCAGGGTTGAACGAAGCTTATATACTAGCCCAAGACCCCTCTCTGGAACCAATGTGGGACGTATCAATTTAGACTTAATAAAAAGTGTTAGATTCGAGAAAGGAACGTAGGATACAATGAAAAGTATCCATCAGGCCTGAGAAAAGTAACATTCTGTCCACCGTTGAGTATAACTTTGACATCCGAGAATTTAGCTGTGTGACCAATCCCAATGCCTGCCAAATCAACTTCTCGATCAGACTATGAAAATGCACCGAGCGAGGACACGAACCGAAGTCATATGGCCGATATTCCAAGCATCAAAACGTATCGCCTAAAGTCCTTTGAACAAGCATTGCTACGCAAACAGAAGTACTGGAATCTAATCTAAATCCTCACTCTTTGACAAAGTTCAAGTTTCAGGATATACTTCAGTTATACACTGAAGGGCAGAGCAAGATATGCCAAGGAAAGAAGGGAAAAAACTGGAAACCTACTTTGTGGGATCCTCACTCTACCAGTGATTGTGTAACTATCCTCGGACCTGCAAAATCAAATCACATTACAAAATAAACGTATATGATGAATGCATAAAGCGGATGGATTTATTAGAAATAAGAAGAGGTATCAACATGCGACTGAATTTACCCAAAACATCTCGGTTATCAAAAAGCAAAGTAACGATGAAGTCCGTCAAGCAAGTAAAATCAAACTGACATCACACGCCGCCCGAATTAGCAGAAGAGCCTTAGTTCGGCGATAATGAACCACTGAAACACGAAAAGCAACCTAGGGCTAATGCAAAAACTATCGAGAAACAGGAAAAATCGTTTATCCAACAGGGATCTGATAAAAGACAACATGAGATTCGCTTAAATTTGGATTGTAGGGCTAAAAACAAAGAGGCGCAGAGAAATTGAGAGGGTTTCGCAGATCAAAAAATTACCCCGACGTGATTGGAAGAGAGGAAGCAAGGAAGAAGAAGCAAATCTGGGAGACGAACAAAGCGACAAGAGGAGATCTGATCGTCGTCGGCTCCATGGTCGTCGAGCGCACAGAGACGAAATCTAAACTGACGATAGAATCGCTCGTTCGAATGATAAAATTAATTAGTTTTGGAAAAAAAAGAAGGGATGGTATGGTCCTTTATATAAACACCTTTTTTTTTCTAAGAACATTTTCTGAAAAAATTTAAACATAAATCGTTTTTTTTATATATATTTTACGCTTTTAATTGTGCATTACAAAAGCCAATATTATGCAAAAACGAGTCTTGTGAGTCAAAGATGAAATCGACCCACTTGCCAATATGTTTTTGTAGATTTTTTTTTTAATCGTGTCGGAACCAAATGGAACAATAAATAATTGTATCCAAACAAATTAGTTCTAAAACCGAAAAATTAAATAATATCAAAATAGACAAAAATTCAAAATATAAAATATTTTTATAAATCAGACTGAACCGTATAAAACCATAAAAATTCGTAAATTTAAATTTGTAAAATGGTAAAAAAAAACAAATTGCTAAACTTTTTTGCTTTGACAAATTTAAAATATTTATAATCATAATTTTCAAATTTATTAATTGATATTAAAAAAATCTAGATAATGTTGATTTTAAAAATTATAATGATATATTTTATAAATTTAAAATTATTAAATTCAAAAATAAATTTGTCGGATAAAAAAGTTTAAAATTTTATTTTTTTCACAATTTTACAAATTCAAAAAATTTTATGGATTTACCCAGATAAAAATTAATATAAATTTCTAAAACCGAAATTAAAAAAACCTGAGAGAGAAGCAACAGTTAGTTCCATTGGATTAATGGATAATCTTTCAGCTTTTACAACACCCTTTTCTTCTTCCACTAAGAAACTCATATGTTTATTCCAACCCCCAATGGTACTAGCGGCCAACAAAGCCCTGCGACTTCTCATAAACCAAAAAGAAAAAACAATGTGAAGGGAAACAGGGATATTATGATTACCTCTTACAAGCTCGGAGGCCATTTCTTTCAAGGTTAAAATCTCTCCTAACTACCTTTTCAGGTCTGGTGGCTAAACCATGGTGGCCCTATCGAACCATTCACGTGCCCATTCGAATGAACCACCGAACCGTTCTGGATCAGCTGAGGCGGCAAACCGATTGCCACCGAGGGTAGTTGAGGGGGGGCCGTCATGGAGCTCGGGTAGAGCCCGTGGCTGTGGGGAAGCCCGTGCGGTAACGGGTTTCCCTTCCGTTGCTGAAGCGCGTGGATTTGCCTTAGCCCTTCTTCGTGAATCCGAGCTATCGTCTCCAACTCCTTCATCGATAGGCTCTCCAAGTTTGCCCCGTATAAGGGTGCGTGTCTCGAGATTTCCTCCCGAAGCGATGATTCTAACGAGTGGATGTATTGCTGCGGAAAAAACAACGATTAAAGATGAGAATGAATAAGAAGTTTGTCGTTGCTCGAAAAAACTCGAGAGATGATCGATATATGGAACCTGGCAAGCTTGCAGTTTGGATTCCATGCCATCGATGTATGCTTCACACCGAGCAATCTGATCTTCCTTCTCCCGTTTCTCTCCTTCCGTCTGCCCTACCGTCTGCGTCAGTCTCCTAATCTCGTCCTCGAGCGATTTTCGGACTTCTTCCCGGGTCACGTTCTCCGTGGCATATCGTTTCAGTTCTTCATCGAATCTTTTCCGAGCTGCCTCTGCACTCTTTAACCTCTCGGCCAGAGCGTTTTTCTCCTTCATCACCCTCTGCAGAATTCAAATTTCGGTGAGTACAGAGCTATATAAGGTTCTCTTCCGTATCCATTTTCAGTAAGCATAATCGAATCTCCAAATGCAGCAGTACCTTCAGTTCATCTCGTTTCCGGGTTTTAAGCAGACCAAGTTGTGTCTCTGCCTCGTGAAGGCGATCGGAAAGAGCCTTCTTCTCAGCTGAGAGCTTGGCTATCTCGTCTTCGCGTTCTGAGCGAATCCACTCCAGCTGGCTCTCTATAACACGGACCTGTTCAGACAGCTCCTTCTTTTCCCGGGCAAAACGATCCATCTCCGCCTTCATATCAGACTGTAATTCCATACACAAATGTCAGTATCGAAACTTCATCCACCATCACAAGCATAATCGAACGCAATCACATACCTTGAGGCGGGTATTTGCAGCCTCGGAATCACTTATTTTTTGCGTGAAAGCGGCTTTCTCCTTTGCCATATTCTGAATCTCGATCTTCCTTTCTTCCCTCGTGCGAATGAGTTCTTCCTCGTTCACACATAACTGGTGCCACAGAGCTGCTCGATCAACATTCGCAAGTTCCACGACTTCTTTCAACATCGTTAAGACGGGTCTGACTACCTCTTGCTGCTGACAAATCAGAATCACCAGAATCTCCAACTCGATGTCTAAGTCATGATGGCTGGTACTACCCGTAGAGCTGGTGAACCGATCTACAAGTCTCTTCAGCATCCGCCCCCTACAAGACTCATCAGGAAACCATTTCAACAATATCGTGTAGAGCGTTTTGACAAACCTCGGAAGAGTGAGCCAATGTCTCGGCAAGACCAAGAATCGTCATGAACTCCATTGCCCCGGCCGTGGATTGCTCGAAAGCTTCTCCCTCTAATACAGGATCTTGATGGGGAAAAGACGATTCCCCAGTTGTAGAATTCAGATTTGACCTCTGAACACGACGTTTATCCAGGACCATGGCGACAGACTGAGGAACAATCAATCCCCTCAACCCCCGAGCCACAGCTCTCTCGAAAGTTTGAGATGCATCCACGGCTAGGCAGGATATGGACAACATATCCAACAGGATGAACACATCGAAGAAGGGACGGTTAGAATGAAGGGATTGCTCATCCATCAAATGAGACATTTCCGAGCTATTAGACCCATTTTCACCAAACAGAAAGAGCCCCCCGCAGGGCAATGGCATAGAATCTCCACCAAAACTGTCATCACGATCAATATCTTTCAATATCATTTCAGCAATATCTCCCCAGCTATGCACAGTTTTACTTAAGTATTCAAGGACACAAGGAGATACATCTGCACCCAGGCTTTTCAGCCGTTCACGGACGGATCTCACCTTCAGAAAGAGAGAAGAAAAAGAAATGTTAGATTAAAAGGTAGAGAAAATTTCACCCGAAAACCCGCACTGAGGAAAAATGATTCAAGAAATGCATACAGCTTCAGGGAGGTGTTCACACTGAGAGGCCGTTTTAAATATAAAATCAATGGTGGCCACAAGATACTCCTCATTTGAGTCTCTCAAAAGCTCAAATGACTGGAATAGAATGCGCTCCCACACTTCACTGTCACACTCCAACTGGCTCAGAGCATTGAATACCTTTTCCAAAAAAGAAAAAAAGAAAGAAATAGTTAAAGTCATTCCATGGCTAAAACATGGAAAAGAGCAAACACGTAAACAAAGAAAGGGCCTTTCTTACTGGCACACGCAATGCTGATTCAGCTTCAGGCTTCTGAAGCCGTTCAATAAGCGAACAAGCGGCCTGCGGATGCTCCGAATGCTCAACCAATTTGGGAACCAAACTCACAAGATCTGGTTGAAGATGTTTGGGGGCTTTGTCTAATACAAGAGTGATCTTTTGAGCAGAGTGTGGTCGCCTCCTTGGCTCAGGACAACCTTGAGGAACAGCCCCGTCAAGTGCTCTTAACGAGTTCACGATCAGTCCCAAGAGCTCTTCAGATTGCTCTGGCCATTTTGTCTGAACACCAAAATTTTGCCAGACGGTCAGAAAAACAAACAAAAACGAAAAAGTTGATAGCTTTTAGCAAAATACAAAAGTCCCACCTTTGATTGGAGTGAAGCATTTTCAGAAGACTGCCCATATGTCTCTCGGGGGTAAAGGGGCTCTATGGCCAGGGCTTTCTCTAGCATATCAATGCCGCTCATCTCAGAGCTTTGTACAGCTGAGGTACTGAGACTATCATCTATACCAGAACCAAATCTCTCCTCAATAGGATGTTGGGATGGAGCCGCTGTTGCTCCATTTTCCCTCGTTGATTCCAATGGAGCTGCAGCTTCACAACCATCACTTTTCGGGTACATTGCAGAAGGTTCACAATGAGAACCTTCCTCTGATGGTTGGCAACACTCAACCATTATATCTAGCAGTAAATCGATAATCGCTTGCTGCAGAACTTTGACACCCATCAACAAATTCATCAGGCTAGGTGAAGATTCATCACTGTTTGTTAGCTTGCTTCTATCATTATTGGATACTTTAGTCGGAAGAAGTAAGCGCTTTACTTTAGTAGGATCATCAAGATATACACGCAATCCAGTCAGAAAACCAGCAATTGCACCTGCATCCATTAGAAGCTTCTCTCGAAGAGTTACTTGTGGCTGTGAAGGGTTCTCCCCATATGATAGATGGAATCCAGCTCTGGAAAGAAAATCGCGGAATGTATCTTCCTCGTCTCCACTTATTCCTTCACTGTCCTCCGAATCAATTGGCTCATCGGGATCAGTAGTTAAGGCATCCTGATCATCATCTGAAGCCAAGACCTAGTGCAAGAAAAGATAAGACATTGAATTTTATTATGTAAGCATGAAACAAATATTTCAGCAAAGTAGAAGATAAGTATATAAGGTAAGGAATAGCACCTAGTATTTCTATCTCATAAACTAATGCAGGAGAAACTAACCTCTAAGTCTGAAAACTCAAACCAAGGGCAACAATCCAATATTTCACACACAAAAACAACAGTGTCACGCAACAGAAACCCTGCATCAGCCTCCAACATATCTGACACTTTCATAAATTGCAAGACAGAATTGTTCCATGTCTTGGTACAAATCGATGACTCCTTCCACACGCTTTTAGCTGGATTCTTTTGATTTAGAATACCCATCTTGTATCTAACCCAGAAATTCTTATCCGCATCGATACCCGCAGACTGGTCACTCTCTAGATAAATGCAAATGGTATCAAAGGACTCATACACACCTGCATCGTTATAAGCCATACACAAAGCAATTAGAGCAATTCATATAGCTACCGACAAGTCCAGTATGCAGATAGAGAATGGGAGAAAATACCCACCAATCCGAAGTTCACATCCGCCAGCCTGAAAAAATTTGCTAAAGATCTTTCGAGTTTCCATTATTTCTTTAAAGGCCAAGAAATTCTCCACTTTCCATGTAAATGAACATTTTTTCCCGCCATTATCGATCTGGGAAGCTGAATTAGCAGATTCAGTATCTATGAAGTCCTTTATTATAGATGTCTCTTTCAGAATAAGAACCTCAGCTGAGAATAGCACAGTATCTTGAACTAGAAATCCAGAGTCTTGATCAAACAGACTTGTAAGCGTCACAAATTCACGCCAACCCCAATCCTTTGCAGCTTTTGAGTAGCGATTCTGAGACTCCTTAGTCACAGATTTTTCCTCCATCCTCTGATTCACAACTGACAGCCGGTGGCTAACAAAACAGCTCCAATCACTAGTATTTCGTGAATCTGTTACTTCGAGAAACACTGAAAGATGACATGGTGGCTGGGACTGACCTGAGGCCATCAAAAGAAGAGAACAAACCATCAGTTCAGTCGCTAAACTCTACAAAAGCAGCAATCAGACAGCTCAAGCGGAAAGAAAGACCATCTAACTAAAAAGAATTTGAAACAGGATCTGTCGGTTTTATCTCTTGTATAAAACACCATAAGAATAAAAGTGGTCTCTGTTAGTATGTTGAATAAAGTTCATCCAAGATATGCTACGGCTCCCCTATAGATGCAATTCAGGAATTTAAACATTGTTTGTATACATTATGCAAGTACTCACATACCTCGGGGATAAACAATGAGTCGACAATCCCGGTTCCCAATTTGAAACCTTTTACTTTTGATGCAAAGACCCGTTATCTTCCTTTTTTTCAGAAGATCCTTCAACCTAGTGAAATTTTCAATTCTCCAGCTGAATTTTCCCATGTGCCCATCTGACTTCCTGGCTCCATTCCCATTCCTTCCCCCAATCAAACCTGCATTCTTAGTGAAGCAGCTGAGTTCTTTGATAACATGAAACGAGGTGGTAAACACAGCCGTATCATCCACTAAATACCCAGCTTCTGAGTTCACAAAATCAGACATCTTCATATAATCATTCCAGCCCAAGCTTGTATTGTCCCCACTCTTGTTATCAGCAGCAAACCTCCCATATGAATCTCTATGCACATGAGTGCACCCAGGTTTCTGGTTCAACACTGACATTCTAAACAAACACCAGCAACTCCTGTCAGAGACCACCGTCTTCTCGGTGTCTTTGCTCTCCAGACACATGGACAAATACTCTTGCCCATTAACCACGCTCTGGTACACACTAATCCTCAAATTACACTCACCAGCAGGAAAAACAGGGCTCATTATCTTCTGGGTCTTAATCATTTCCTTGAACAAGCTAAAATTATGCACCTTCCAAGTGAACTTGCCACTCAAAACATCTGGCACGGGCCCAGCTATCGAATTCTCCTTATACAACGACTGCCCATCATTGTTATGATCACGACTAAAGCTTACGGACTCGTTTAAGATCAAGATATCAGCCGTAATCAGCAGGGATTCGTTATTAAACAGAAAGCCCAACTTGGGATCCAATACATTAGAGTTGAGGGTGAAATCACAAGCTAAAATTATGCACCTTCCAAGTGAACTTGCCACTCAAAACATCTGGCACGGGCCCAGCTATCGAATTCTCCTTATACAACGACTGCCCATCATTGTTATGATCACGACTAAAGCTTACGGACTCGTTTAAGATCAAGATATCAGCCGTAATCAGCAGGGATTCGTTATTAAACAGAAAGCCCAACTTGGGATCCAATACATTAGAGTTGAGGGGAAAACCCCCCCAGCCGTGAGATTTCTTCTTGCTGGAGAATCTGTGCCACGAATCCTTGTGGATGGTCAAGGAATCGTCGACATGGTTCACGATGGAGAGACGGTAACTAGCGAAGCAGTCCCAGCGAGACGACGTCGTTCCACGAGGGTCCATGATCTGGAGATAGATGCTGATATAACCCGGAAGGGCCTGAGAATCGCCCCTAGGGTAAACCAGGAGGCGGCAATCGTAGCCTCCGACATCGAAATACTTGCTCCACAATGCCTTGGCCTTAACACGTGGGAAGTTCTGGACGGTCCATCGGCACAAGGCGGCGTACTCCCCTCGCCGATCGACGGCCACGATCTCCTGCGCACCTCCGCTTCCGTCCCTCGAGGATCCCACCTGCAGGTCCTCCGCCGGAGATATCGAAGACGATGAGAGCGGTTTCTCCGCCGACGACGAAGACGGAGAAACCGCAGGCTGTGATTGGTCCGCCGCCGACGAAGACGACGAAGACACTGCCTCCGACAAGCTCTGCTTCATCGCTTATGGTGGTGTTCTTCTTCTTCCTCGCCTCTAGATGTTTTCTCCTCTCTCTCTCTGTCTCTGTCTCTCAGAGCTTCTCTGGTGTTTTATCTTAGGTTGATCAATTTTTTTCTAGAGAGAGAAAGGGCAAGAATCGAGATTACATTTAACGTGCGCCTCTCGAGTTAACGTGCGCCTTATAGGTTTCTCTCTTTCTTTCCGGTCGTGGTTTCATTTTATTTTCCAGATCAAATTGGTTATTAGGGAAAAAAAGATTTTGTCGGATTGCAATATTATTTATGAGGGAATTCTTAGTAAAACAATGACAGTAATTATTTTTCTACCTCCAAAAATATATATATATATATATGATTTATTTTTAAGTTGTACATCTTATACCATCTCACTTATATTTGAGTTTATCAAACTAAGTTAAAAATATAAAAAAATATATATATGTAAAAGTTTCGTACGTATAAATTTCATGAAAATAAAATTATAAGATAAATGTATTATGACATAGTATGCCCACTTTGACGTTAGGTTTGAGATATGATGGGTGCTTGAGAATATTACGTAAGTTTTTTTTTTTTTTTACAACTATTGCCAATTTCATATTTTTTAGTTTGATTACAAAAATCGATCATATACGAAATAAAATTGTTATTTTTTTATTCATGTCGGTTTTGTTAATTTAGTTTAAGGTAAGCTTATACCGAATCGATTTTTTTTATTTCATATATGTCATGCATTATTCGATTTGATTCAATTATCATTAATTATGATCAAAATATTAAAAATGCGTATTAGCAGGATTTTTTTTTTGTATATGATTAACCGATTGGAGAAATCAAGAAATGCATTCCGATCCTTCTCTTGTGATTTTTTTTTTCTAATTGAAAAGGGACTATGATCTAATGATCTTCACGTCTCGTATAATATGGAGTTCGGGAGTTTTTGCGTGCGATATTGTATAAATTAATAATTTTAAAAAAACACTAAATAATTTCAAAATCAATATTGTTATTATATAAAGTTATAAATTTTTCTATTATTAAATAAATTTTATTATATAAATTATAATTTTATTAATTAAATTTATAAATGAACATGCTCTATAAAAGTTTGACTGTTCTGGATGAAGATTAACCTCCTAGAGTTATTTTCGAATTTTTAAAACCATATTTTAAGATTTTAAATTAGGTGCCGTCCGAGTCGATGTGTTTTAGATTCTGTTTTAATTCCATTGTTATAGATAAATATCTTAAAAAAAATTAAAATGGTTTTTTCGGAATTATCATATTCGGTTAGGGTTTGAATTTCTCATTTTTTTTATTTAAAAAATACCCATTTACTTTTATATTGAATTGAATCGAAGCTACCTCCCGTACCGTAGAGCTACAATTTGAAAATTTTATAATAAAAGACATAAAAATAATCGTATATCATTAATGTAGTAAACCAAAAATATTAAGAGTTCATCATACAATATTGATACTGTCTATGTATTTATCAAAATTTCTAACCTAAGAAAACTACTACCATAAATTCATGTTGTCTTTAATCAGACAAGCTTCTAAGAGAACATTCGTGCCAATAAATATGTTTTTTTTATAATTAGAAATATAATTGGATTTTCGATCCAAATATATTTTTGATCCAATTATGTCTTTCATAACACAAGAAAAATCTAGATTAATGTTTTCCCCAAATAAAGACTCAAAGCCGGATTTGTTATTAAACATATACGAAAATGTTTGAAACCAAAAACTAGGTGTCACTTTAGGTTCAGAGACCCGGAGTCCGGCTTGTCTCAATCTGAAAATTAGAAGGCTTCGGGTCTACTTTTCCGTTTTGAAAAAAATTAGGTTTTAAAACCGAACTCAAATCAGGTTTCGGACTCGATTCGGAACACTATGAAAACCCGATATTTAAAAAAAAGTAACATTTACATAGAAAAATATATGTGGGTCAACCTAATTCGATCCGAGCCTGAAATATATAGAGGTGGACTTCGGACTTAGTCAAATGGGTCTGAAAAAAATCGAGTCGAGTCCAAACTCGACTTTCAGATCGAATGCGGATTGGGGCGGTCGGATTGGTACCCTACCAAAAAACCAGAGATAATCACTATATGTACATGCACATTTTTTTATGGACGGACCAATTTGATATGAATGGGGGTATATGCCCCGTTTGTTTTATTTAAAAAATAATAATTTTGTTAAAAAATTTATAAATTTTTAACAAAATTGTTAAGTGCCCCTATACTAAAATTATGTTTGCTGTATAGTAAAATTAAGATTGCCCCATTTATATATATTTTTTAAATCCGCCTAAAGTAAATTGCCATAAAGAACACCATTAATATACATTCATTTCCAATTCTTACAAGAACCAGAAAATACAGATATACGATCCAAATATTCTCTCCTATAGATATGGTATGTATTTTCTGTAGATTTTTATATTTTTAACCTTTAGATGCCTCCACGTTTTATAGAAACCAACTAGATACCGTAAAAAGTTTCAGCTGTTGTATTTTCTAACGTACCATTTGGATGTATACACATTTTAAAACACAAAAAAAATATTATAAAAAAACATATTATATATTTCAGGTTTACATTGTGTTTATCTAAACTCTTGTTGCTTCTTCATATTAAAAGTTTGCGCAAAGGGTAACTCCCCGATATTTTCCTGTCTTTGTTTTAGTTCCATGTATACTTATATATATATATATATTGTATGAGAAATAACAATATAATTAATGAAATAAGGTATTTTTTGCAGGTGAACTTAAATGTTATAATATTATATTGTGTATGATGATTTTTAATCATCCATTATTGCTCCTTGCCTTGAATGCACATCAATAAACTAATATATGCATGGTTTTTCTATGAACATACAACGCATATACACATATATAAATATGCATGCTCATATACACATACACAATAGTGGACCTAGAACAAATTCTAAGTGGGGGCAAAATTAAATTTATCATATGATAAATATAATTTACTATGAGAGCATTTATAAAATTTGGGTAAAATGTGATCAATTTTATAAAGGAATTATAATTTTTTGATCAAACCAATAGGGGCATATGCCCCATTCATTTCCAATTGGGTCCGCCTATGTATACATGTATTTATGTACAGAGAGACAGATCTACATACACTTTGTACTATTGGGGTATATGTCCCCACTCAACCAATTAAAAAAACATTATTTTTTTTTACATAAATTATAAAGAATTTTGAATAAAACTGTATAATGCTCCATAAAATTAATATTATTTATAATAAAAATAAAATTGCCTCTAGTTAACTAAGTCTGTAGGTCTCCCACTGTCCATGTATATATGTATGTATATATATATACACACACATTAATTTGTACATTATATATATATATATATATATATATATATCAACTGAAGTTTTTTGTACACAAAAATGATATATGATATTTTTTTACGTGGCGATGACAAATTATCGAATCTACTGAACCGGTAACGGCGTTAGAATGGATATAGGGTTACGACAATATTTTAAAATTTTATATAATAATTTTATTGAAGTTTTAAAATTTATATTGATTTTTTTAAAGTTCCACGTGTTTAAAATTATATTCAATTTTATCTTAAAATTCGATTTCATTTATAAAAAAATATCTAGTTTTAAAAATTAGTTTTTACAATGGTCAATTTTTATATCGATTTTAATGAAATATAATCGTAGATCATTCGGTTAATCATATCCATCTTAGATAACCAGAATGGCAACTGGCAAGCCTTCATGACCGCATAAACGACAGAATTTATCACGCGGAGGAGATACGTGTATGTATATGTGCGCGTGTATATACACGGTAGACCGCCTCCGTCGTCCCCGTTAAGTACACATCACCGCCGTTTCTCCCCGTGAAATTCAGGCTGGGGGAGAGTTAATCGTGAGAGAAACGTCATCTGACTCTTTTACTTTTGGTCTCACCTGATCCTACGAACGCCAAAAACCCTAGGTTTCTTAGTCATCGATCCATCTTTTGCTGAAATTCGTTCCTTGGGTTGGGTAATTTTGGGGGTTCTCGATCGGGAACTGGTGCTCGATCTCGTCTCCGGTCGTCTGTGATCGGGCGATCAGATTCAGAGAGTTAGAGTTTGGTGGAGATGTTGCAGAGCCGGAGTCCCCCGAAGCACAAGCACGATGGTTCGTCGCCCCTTCCTCTCGGGATGGATTGGAGCCCTCCTCCGCGCAAATGGGTGAGTTTGTCTGGCGTTATTTCTTGAAGAATCAAGTTCCAGTGCCAGTTCGTATTCCATAGTTTATCGCAATTCGAGCTTTGTTGGGTTACAATGTGTCATTGTGGAGTAACATACTCGGATCCTTCCCGAGTCCTTCTTAGTGGTATTTGCTCTATCTGTAAGATTCGTTGGTCAGGTCGGCTTCATCGTTTTTCTCCCTAGAAGCCAACGACTACATGGTTATCATTTATATTAGTTCTTCCTATATTTGATAGAATCAGGTAAGCTTGGATGTTTCACTGCACCCAGTTCTAGGAATTGGTGACATGTGAAATGCTCGAGATGAATGAACTTTTCTGATAGTGTACTTTCTGTATCTTCAAGTTTCCGAGTGAACTTGTTCAGTGATTATGCATAGATGATTGAACAGTTAAGGTTTAAATTGAAACCTCTTGTTATGTTGTGCAGAGTGGTAGAGATACTGTGTGGCCTCATGATCCCCGGACATGATGGAGTTATTATGTCACCATACCCTCATGGGTTCTTTCGAAATCAAGAAATTCAGATCCCCTAGTGGTAAGCTAAATAATGGTCATCCGATGTTTATAACTTTGTACAAGGGTTAGCCATTCTTTTTTCATAACAACATATTTTAACTGATTTGGTTATGTCTCGTGCTTCTGTGGATGACTTGAATGAGTAAATATTGGTTTCATGTATTCACTAAGATTTCTTGTAGACTGTCCTTTTTCTTTGCACTGTTTTTGGTGGTGTATTTCATAAGTTTTTCCAACGTCTAGTTGTTACCTGCTCATTTTTTAAACATTTTCAAGGAACAGTTTTACAGGTTTCAGGTAGCTGTACAATCCCCAGAAGGTGTTACTTTAATGCGAGGAGTATTGAGAAGATTTAATGATTTTCTGAAGCTATTGGCCGACGTACGATTTTGTTCTTGTTGAATTTTTATCATTGCAAATCTCGAGTCTTTCTTTCTCCATGAGATTATAAATTTGATTCGTATTAATAATTTGACTGCAAGTTTTCATTGTTATATTTGTGTTAATTTGTTTTTCATCGCAGCTTAAAAGACTATCTCCTAGAAAAAGTATTCCATCAGCTCCTCCTAAAGGGCTTATGCATATGAAAAGCAGAGCAATGCTAGAAGAGGTATGCATCTTTTTGTGAGGTTAAATGAACAAATCAACGATATTAGTCCCAAGTTTTCTTTCTGTTTTGCATTTTGGAAATGGATCAAGAAAATATGGTTCAGATTTCCACTCCACTGACTAGTAGTTTTGAAGACAGGGCCTTGTAATTTTGGCAATCATGTTAGACATTCATTCAAGCAATTAACCTCATTAGTAATAGATTCTTTTAAAGCCCTGATCTTGTTGCAGAGAAGGTGCTCTCTGGAGGAGTGGATGACAAAGCTGCTATCTGATATAGATTTGTCAAGAAGTGTTGTTGTTGCATCCTTTCTTGAACTAGAAGCTGCTGCTAGGTCTGGTATGAGCCATTCCATTGTGTTAATATCTTGTGCCTCTATAGCATATTTAATATGCTTTATAACAAGAAATGTATAGCACATCAACATATTTGGAATGCAGTCAATCCATGCATTGGTAAGTGCAATTGTTGCTTTGTCAAGTCTAAAATGGTAAGTGGTTTTTATTTTTTTCCAGCATGCCAAGACTTCGGTAATGCTTCTGATACCAATAATGAAAGAAACAACACGAGTTCGTCTCCACTAATTCACCCAAACTTGAGCATGTTTTGCGCTGGTGGTAGTTAATCGCTGACATCTACGAAACATCTGAGCTTGGATCACCAAGTTTGGGACAAGATGATATTTCTGAAATCGATATTGAAGATCTAGCTCTGGATGATGATTTAACAAATCCTATAGAGAAGTTTGTCAAGTTTAGCATGTTCAACATCGACGAGGGTCTCTCTGTGGGCCAACCTATTCTGGAACAGCTTACAGACTTTCCTAAGCATCAAGCCCATTCAAGATATGTCAATAATACCCTAGGGAAGGATATATACACTGGAAATGCTTCTGAACGTGTATTTCTGGCTGACAATGGCACACAAACTTTCTCTTAACCAGAGTCAAGTCACACTCTGGTGCATGATAGAAAGCTGTCTACTGGCAGTACTGAAGGATTTCTTCCACAAGCCAACGACATGTCCATCTATCGTATACCAAGCTCAAGAGGTAATGGCCACCTGGACCTACATGAAGTTCCTGGTGTTTCAATTTCCCCCCGGGATTGTTGGTAACCCGACGTCGAAGGGTGATGCACAAATTGTTCTTCCTCTGGAACTGCGTAACAAATTGAACAGGATTATGTTGACCATGTATCAGAGACTCATCAATGCAAACACAAATATGGAGGATCTTATAGCAAGATTGAACCGAGAAATAGCTGTGAAGGATTACCTTAACAAGAAGGTACATAATTATGCGGTGTGTAGTTTGTAGAATAATTTGTAGTCCACAAACTATATTTATCCGCTCCCGTAATGAACATCCTTATATTTATCTCTTTTTTTGTTCTGGGTGAATAATTTGTAGTCTTATTTTCCCTGCTCAGGTTAATGACTTGGAGGTGGAACTGGAAACTACAAAACAGAGAAACAAAGAAAATTTGGAGCAAGCTATTATGATGGAGAGAGAGAGATTTACCCAGATGCAGTGGGACATGGAAGAACTCAAGCAAAAATCCCTAGAGATGGAAATGAAACTGAACTCGAGACAGGTAAATGAATTTGAAGTTATTTCTTTCCCAGTAGAAATCTTCCTGGAAAAAAAATGGGTCGGAATCTGCATAGGGTGGGTATATGTGATATAGTTTCTCGCTGTTAGAGAAGCACACTGATACAATCACTACAGGATGGAAAAACTCACATGCAGAGCCGAGTGGAAACTCTACTAGTCCCGAGAGATACGAGTTTTGCAAGAATTGGATGCCACGAAACAGAAACAGAAACAGAAGGATCTATCAAGGCAGTATGAAGAAGTGGAAGCAAAATCGAAAGCAGAGACATCAGTCTCTTGTCAAGGAGGTTAAATCTCTGGGACGCTCTCATGTGGAACTGGAAAAGGAGTTGAATCAGTCTCTTACAGAAAAGTCTGAAGCTGAGGTACATTTGCAACTTTCTGCTTCTGCAATCTGCATGAATTTACTCTACATTTTGTTAGAGAATCAGGAGATGGAAAACATAATCGAGTGAAAACATGTCTACACATTGCAGAAACTCCTCCGAGAAGAAAGAAGATCACTCGAGAACGAACTAGCTGCAAGGAAAAAGCTCCTCAGTGACTGCAGAATCCTGCAGGACCGGTTCAAAGAGCACAACATTAATTTGTTGGTGGATGAACAAATTGAAGAGGTATTGGTTCTTCTCCTTCTACCATCTCGATTACATTTACTCAGTTACATCCAAGGTTTACCGGGTTTGATATATAATCCATGTCTCGTGGATAATGTATGTACGCGTTAAGAGCTCATGTATTTATATCACTTACCGGGTGTGATGAAACCGCAACTCAGAACGTCGATAACTCTCTCAGCATCGACTCTGAAACAAGAATCATGGATGCCGAGCTGTGGAAGATACTGGCAGATGTCTTCTCCGAGAATGCAAAACTGAGAAAACAGGTTGAATTCCCCGATGATCCTTGCTATCGGAACAGACGCAGTGACGGATTCGACAAACGATGACGGCAGCAATGGCAACGGTGAAATCGGATAGATAGGTAAGTCACAAATGAAAGCCGCCATTTTTATTTTATCAAGTAACCGGTGGGTTTCTGTAAATATAACGTTATAGACTCTTTGGACGAATGAATAAGCATATGGTGCAAATTTTGTATTTGATCGTATCGTGAAGCATTTGTGATTAGTATTCATAAAACTTCAAACAAAAGACAATGGATTTGCCTTCTTACCAAAGTGACAATAAGGAGGGATGGTGCATTTCGATACGGTTCTTCATAACCCAAAAATTCGAATCGAACCGTCATAACCCAAAAATCCGATATTATTTATAGAGAACCGAATTTCGCATAAGAAACTGAATCGAATTTTAACTGCACTCTACTAAACCACTTTGGTTTTATTGTCTTTTGAGTCTCAATGAACCCAACGTTGTTGTATTAAATAAAACAAAAAAAAAACTTTATATTCTTAAAAGGAGTCAGATCGATCTCTGTCCGGTTTTCGATTCAATTAAAAGGATCTCTGTCTTCTACTTCTTGTCTGAATCAGTTTTCTTCTTCTTTTTCCTTTTGTTGTCTCTTTTATCCGAATTTTCTTTCAATGCACACCCTTTACTTATAGCCAGACAGGTATGTACTTTCTCCGAGGGACCCAAATCGTCAACACTTCAACTTGTTCTTTTTTTTTTCCCTTTAGAACAATATATTATTACATTATTCGACTCAACCACGAGGGCGACGACCCTTTCGACCGTCGGATGGTTTTTCTTTCAATCATATGTGATCCAAGTTATTTATTTTAAGACGGCAACGGGAAAACTAATTAATTTAAATCCTTGACTTTGTTGATGATAATGAAACAAATGCTGATAATATATGGATGTAATTATTACATTATATATTTATAAGGGGGGGGGGGGGGAGAGAGAGAGAGAGATTTACAGCAACCTTTGCAAATGAGTACAAGAGCGACAGAATGGGTTAAGAAGAAGGAAGAACCTTGTTGACGATGTCTTGACTGAGAGCAGCGATCTGAGAGTCGAGCGCTTTAATGGTTTCTTCCTTCTGCTTCTCCAGTTTCGCCAGCGCTTCTTGCAACTCTGCTTCCACCGTCTTCCTTCCCTCCCCCAGTTTCTCCTCCACCTCCGCCTGCCGGATTCAATCCCAAAATTTTCAGATTCCCATTCATCAAAATCATCATATCTTCAATCCGTATCATACCTGAGTCTCCTTCTTCATCTTGTTCAGAGCGGCGGAGATCTCCGCCCTCGCGGCCTTCATCACGGCGGCCGCCTGATCGTCGAGCTCCTTAACCTCCGCGGACGTGTCCTTCACGCTCGCCAGCTTCTCCTTGATCGCCGCGTCTCTCTCGTCCATGAATTTCCCAAGCGGAGTGAAGTAGACCTTGTCGAGGGCGAACATCAGAACCAGGAACTCCACCATTATTATCGGCAGCGTCAGGTTGAACTCGAACAGCTTCGCCTTCTCCATCTCCTCCGCCAGCGACGGCGGAGCGATGGCCGCGATCAGGGCCAGGGATTTGGCGGTTTCGGAGGAGATGGAGAGGAGCTGGCGGCCGACGGAGGGCTTGGGGGTGGGGATCTGGGGGGGGTTGTTTAGGGATTTGGAAACGGCTGGGTTGGTTGGAGGAGAGGGAGATTAAGGGTTTGGAGGAAGCCATGATCGTGTTCGCCATGGCTGCAGCTTTCGGGAGAAGCTCTCGAACTGGTCTCTGTGTGGTATGTGGGAGAGAGATTGAGAGAGAGAGAGAGGAGAGATTTTCTTGCACTGTCGAGAAGAAGGTTATCTTCTTTCTTTGCCACACAAAAGGGAGAGGCTGTGGTGAATGTAGCCGATTTTTTTTTTTTTTTTTTTTTTTTTAAGAAAACAATATGAATTTTCCAAGAGAAATTAAAACAAAATAAAATCTTTCTTTAAACTATAACAAAGAAATTTTAATTTTTATCTACAATCTACACATGGTGTTTTTGACAATTATCTATTTAGTTTGATTTCATTATTTCATTTTGAAAAGTTCACAATTGATTTTGAGTTATGTTTTCTATTAAAAAAATTATTTTTAACCTTATAATTTACTTTGATGTTTAATCTCAATTTAGTTAATTTAAATTTAAAAAATAATATCAAAACTTTTAAATTAAATTATGTTGAAATACGTGCATATTTTTTTCTTATATAATCAAGATGAGCAACCATAGAATTATGTTGAATTCTCAAGGGAAAAACATAGAAAATAGACCACGTTTTGGCATAGATTTAATTTTCTATTAAATTATTTCCATGTAAAGGAAAGGATGATGAGTTTATTTGTACATAGATTGCGTTTTGGAAACAAACCGCGTTTGGCAGAAAACGCAATCGCAAACGCTACGCCAAACAAACGTTTCCTTATTTGCACAGTGTGAAGTTTTCAGTATTAGATAAAGACACTAACCATAACTCAGAAGTCAACAAAATTTCTTACAAAAAAAAAACACATGAAGAAGAAGCAGAGGGTTTTTTTTTTTTTTTTATGTTTGGGAGATGAGTCTCCTGTTCCACACATCATTCTCCGAATAGCACTTGAACCCGAACCTCATCACCATTTTTTTCAGAAAACCGCGTTTTTTCGGAGAAGACGAAGTAACCTCGGACTTGTGTTTGGTTCCCCTGTATCCAGGCATCGAACCGTAAGAGATCAAACCGCCCACGGTTGTTGCAAGAAAGCTCGGTTTGATCCGTGTGATGGTCTCGCCACCGTCTTCTCGGAATCCTCCTCCCTTCTTTCTCCGTGCTTTCGGAGTGGGCGAGAACCTGTACAGTCGAAAAGATGAATCGTTTATCGATCTGAAAAATCCCGGGTTTCGAGCAGAAAGACCGGTAGGAATCTATAGGTTCGTGAACGAGCCTATAGGAGAAAAATCTAAACTTTAACGGAGTTTAGGAACCGTGTTTACAAGAGGAGGTGTATTCAACCTCCCACTGTTCTTTTGATCAACATTTGTCTTAAACTTCGAGAACAATATAGAAATTTGTTGTAAGTTCATATTAAATGCAAGACTCTTCCCTAAAAGGTTCTAAAAACAATAAAAACCCAATAATCTAGGAGTCTATCAGAATCACATTTGTTAATGGAAGCTCCAGATGATCATATATGGTTGAAAGAGAAGTTTCATGTGTCGAGAGATCCTTACAGTTTCGGTTGATGTCTAGGAGAAGATATCCGTGTCTTCGCCTGCTTCTTCGTCAGGAAGCAGTGGTTTGAGATATGCCGGATAAACTTAAGCTGCACAAAACACCGTCCAAATGATCGGGGATCAGACCGAAGGGAAGTGCATTGTCAAAATCTGAACCTATATCGCTTAAATATGTGTTTTTTGCAACAAATTATACGGGAAGAGATGACAGAGAACCGAATTGGAATCAACTGGAAACACAAGTTTGTAGCAAAGTCAATTGAATTGTTGAAACTGGCTACTCAATTGCCAATGCAGTTCTGTTCTATATGACGAAAAGACCAAACGAGAAACATAAACATGATCTGCATAGTAACTTACTCGCCGTCCTTGCATATAGAAGTAATCAAAAGCCGGGAAACTCAAGAAACACAGAAAAGAACTGATTTCAAACCTGATTGCCGTCCTTAATGCCAAATTCTGCGATGTAATCAGTCTCGTTGATTAGCCTGTGGCCTTCATAGCATAAGCAGAATTGTGCCCAGACATGTGGCCTTCATCCAGATGAAGTTATCACAAGAAGTTGTTTTAGTTGTTACTCAATATCTCAAAACCCAGCAGTGATCTTACTATTCCTTACAGAAATGTATATAAATGGATTCCGAATCCGGGCAAATCGGAAAGACAATGTACCATGAAACCTTGCCGGGGCCTGTGTTCGGAATGTGGCTGAAGGCATCCTCCACGGCCATCTTGAGCTCCCGTACGGTGGCTATCTTCAGCACATTGATATCTGCAAAAACCCATATCCATCATAATCGTGTTATCTAATTTCGGAACGAGGCTAATTTTCTCGGAAACCAAACAACAAACAACAACAGAGAAAAGATCCCAAGCCCATCACTAGGAGGGCTAGTACAGGTGACCAGTCCAAGCTTTATCAGCTCCTGGACTTTCACTTCCGTCATCAGTCAAACATTGAACACTGGAGCGAAATTCCGAAATTGCTTCATTCAATCAAACGAACGAACGGAAGAGGAACAGTACCGAAGGAAGATCCATCCAGCTTGAGAACATGGAGCTTGATCGGCTCCTCGGGAATCATGTCATAGGAGAAGCTGGTCCGACGGGGGAAGCCGTCGATGAGCCGGAGAGGAGAAAGAGCGGCAGCGAGAGAACGGCGAGGAACGTCCATCGGCAACCCAGAAACGGAAACTTTCCGGGACTCATCAACCGTAGGACGGAGGGAAATCAAAGGCGGAGAAGGGATGGAATGAGAGATCAGAGGGCATGGAGCAAGATATAAGAATGATTCCTATTTCCTAGGAAGAGGACGAGAGAGAGAGAGAGAGAGAGAGAGAGAGAGAGAGAGAGAGATACTTGGGAGAGAATAAGGGGTTAAGGGTCTCAACTTTTTTCAGGCGCTTGTACCGGTGGAGATTCTTCGGCAGATGTTTTTCTTCCGTAAGATACCTACCCCACGAATTGAGATTATTTTTTTTTTCTTTAATATATTGGGTAATCGGACTACCTATACTTACCAACGCAGACGAACTGGTAATTGAGATTTTATGTGCAGATGAGTTTTAAGATTCTGTTTAGTGATTAACTGGATTTTGCATATACAATATATTCCAAAACAAAAAAAAATATATGTATACAAAAAAAGCGGATAATCGTTGTTCGGCGTTCCAATTAAAAACCAAGCCGACCAGACCGAACTCGAACTGGAGCAAAAGGGATAAGGAAAAGGTATCACATTAGCCAGACCATGGGAAACCCGGGGAGACATGATGTAAGGAAAGTCTAGCCAGAGATAAATGTCCATACAAGCAATATAGGACTTTCACAGGTTCATTACAACTCCTCCGTGAGTTTAGCCAGATTTATGATTTGTTGGATTGCCGATGCACCACATAAGGCCGAAACTCTTCAAGCCACTCTTTTTTACCTAGAAAGATATATTAGACTTGCAGGAGGATAATTCCAGTAGAAAACAAAGCGGAGAATTGCGACAGAATTATCAGTTCGGCCAATGGTTGCTAGATATACCGCGGTGGCTACAAAAACAACAGCATATCCATAAGGGTAAAATGACAAGTCCCTAGCTCACAATTACACCGACACTGAAACCAATCTTAGAGGACTTTAGTTTATGCTTTAAAACACTTGGGAGAAGAATTTTTCTTTCAGAGGATATAAACCCACATCTGTATGGAAACAAAGCAAAGTAACCCACTCAATCAACAACATGTAGCTATCACTATTTTCGCTATCCTAATTCTTAGCCATAACATAAGAAAATCGTCTCTTCTTCTTAAGACCAGTTCTAAGGGATTGAAATTCGATACATGCAAAATAGTTCTAAAAAAACTGTCCTGAATATCTCTCTATTCATAAAATGATTTGTGTCACCATACTTATATTTATAGGTAAAGATAAAGTAATTACCGTTGACTAAATTAAGTAAATATACTAAAAACTAATAAAGAAATTATATGTAGACGAGAGATAATAAAGACTTTGACCGTCGAATTTGACTAGGGGAGTTGGAATGCCATTTCTAGCTATTTTGAAAATCATTTTCATCGTTAATATTGTCTATACGAGTTTTGGATTTGATTTGTGGGTTTTATGAGCTTGAAATCTTGTGTTTGGACCAAATCAATATTCATTTCCAAGTGTTTCCGTTCCGAAAAAAAAAAATTAAGAACAAGCCCATCTAGCACACTCATTGTTAATGAAAACAAATCTAAATGAGTTAGTGAATTAATCCATACACAAATTTAAAAAGATGAAAATGTAGTTGTAGAATGTGCATCAGGTGGGAATATCCAAAACTTCGAGTATTTGCCTATTGGGTGACGTTGAAAACACGATCTTTTAGGTTGGATTTCGGTGGATAATCCGAGTCAAAGAGAGTAAAGAAATGATGATAGAGCATGAGACAAGGAGTATAAAGTTATAATTATATATTTAGACATTTTAATTATATTGCATAGCTAAACTTAGTTATGAATTTGATAATTGATGATATGGGATTTTGTGCAATGATGATGATACAAAAGCTATCCAATTCGTCCCTTCCAAATGCCTTTATTCCTTTCCTCGCCCCCTAACCCCAACACCCCTTTTTTTTTTCCTTTAATTTCTAACCATTAGAAGAAGAAGAAAAAAAGCAAGGAAAAAACCCTTAACACGATTTTAAAAATTTTTAAAAATAAATAAATGAATGTTTACACCAATAATCTACAATTATGAGTTGAAAAGATTCAATAATACAAGTATTTATTTTAAAAAGTTATATTTATGTAATTTTTATTTTATATATTCAAAACTCATTAAACTCAGAATGAAGACATCGTCCAAACAAAATTAGATCTCTCGCCGTTGGATTCCCTCAATGAATATATATTCCCTCTCAAATTTTTTGGTTGTTTTGATCATAACATTTTAATTATAACAATTATAATTACAACTGTATAATTTTCATTTTTACTATCATTCTAATTTATATACTAAAATATGACAAAACATAATTGTAGTTTTTTGTGTGTAAAATTATATGAAAAATTGTGTTAAAAGTATATTCCTTTTATAATGTAATTCAATTACATAATTAAGCATATAGCAGTAGAAGAATTAGACATTAAATTTTTACTTATTGAAGTTAATGTAAAATTCAATCATTTTTTGTTTATTATATTATAGTTTTAACTTTTAACTCGGTTATAACACGTCTGTAAATGAAATTATATAAAAAAAATAACCCAATATATTAAATGAAATAAAAGAAAAAAATATTTAAAAATTCTTCAACTTGGAATTTGGTGTAATATTAATTTCTAAATTTGTAGGTACGTCTATTTATTCTCGAACTTGCAGTTTCGCTTAAATCCGGTTTATTTATGATCCGATGATTAAACCTAATTTACATATGAATAGGAACTGGGTCTAACAGACCGGTTCTGCTTACGTGGCATCCTTTACTGATTTGTCTCGACATGTCACACGTCAAGATGATTGATCAATCAATTAGTGGTGGTATGAATGATTATAAAAATATTAAGCAAATTTAGAAATTATTATGTTTAAAAATAAAAATGAATGAATAGACGTACCTACAAATTCAGAATTAATATTACCCCAAATTTTAAAAATTTTCATATTTTTTTCATTAAATAAAAACATTTGTTTGTATGCGTATATACGTATCCCAACTATATATATATATATATATATACATACGTGCACAAATTTTAAAGGTCATATGACGGAATGTTACCATTTGTTTGTGTTGTTATAAATATTTTTTGAGGCGTTGAACCCGAGGGTACTTTATACCAGTCGGAGAATTAATTATACTGGTCGGTGCAAATTAAGATTATGTGTAAATGTTAGGCTTAACCTAAAGTTATGAGTTAAGAAGATGGATGGAACCGAGTTGGACGAGTCGACTCAACAGAAGACTGGGTTTTTTTTGTTCTTCCCAGCTTCTTTTTTCCATATATTAAATTACAATTTCCCTTTGCTAAAACCAAAAAAAAAACTAAAAATTTACAATAAAGCCATTGGCGGTGGGTTTCACGCGCCGCCGGCGGAGTCATTGAACAACACATTCCTCGCCATAGCCATCAAAGGCTCCGCCGCCGCTGGCGAGAATTTCCTGGCGAACAGGAAGGGATCCTTCCGCTTCATCACGGACCAATCAGAGCCGTTGATTCCATCCCCACCGTACCTCAGCCGCGTCATCCTCAGCCGTCGGATAAGCTCAGGCACCACCTCATCCGGCTCGTACATCCGCGGGTGACCGCCGTCGTTGACCGACCAGTCAACGTGGGTTAGAGTCGCCGGGACAAGGCCACGTGGATCCCGCATGCTCAGGAGCGTCGGAAAGTAATTCTCCTCCGGGTAACACGTGTCCTCCCTCACGCAGGGCCTGTCGAACCTCGCCCAGATCCTCCGGTCACGCGCCACCGTACGCGCGTGGACACGGGTCAAAACCCAGAACTGCGACCCGATCCGAAAGTCTTCAAGCTTCACCTCCGGGAGCATCGCGTCCGACCCACGCGCCGCCCACCGGTCGAACTGACCTCTTCCGAGATGAAACCAGGTTTTTGTAGATGAAATCGAACGAGTGAATCGGTACGCAGGAAGGGGAGACAAGGGCAAACATGGAATTTCGCGGGTCGTGGAGGAGCGCGTGAGCGAGCAGCCTACGCGCCGCCGAGGCGAGGGTTGGGGTAAATCGGAGCGAAGGCTTAGAGGGGATGACCCGGTTAGCGAACAGACCCGAGAAAGGTGGGTCGTAATCCCGGGTCGGGTCGGCGTGGACGTAGACATTGTACAGATCCTTGGAGCTTCCATTGAAGAAAATCTCCCAGAGAGGCGCAAAAGGGAGAGGCGTCGTCGTCAGGAACACGAAGGCGACTTTCCGGGTCGACCCGGCAGGCGGATTCGGGTTCACCCGAGAGGCGAGGCGGAGAAGAGACTCGTCATCCTCGGGCAACGGCGGCGGAGAAGGAACCTTTGCCGGAAATTTGTGGCCGATGGGTTCTCGCCGGAAGGTGAATACGACGGCGACCGGTAAACATAGAAGCAAAGCACAGAAGAGTGGCAATGGCGTCGGAGACAGCATTTCTTTCTTACAAGCACATTTCAGTGACTTTGCTTTCTAGAGAGAGAGACAGAGGTACTAACAACACAGAGATAAACATGGGTTTTTCTAGAGCGAGAGAGTGGGGGATTTGTTGAAAGCAATTAATCTTTTGTTTTTTTTTTTACATTAAAAGAGTTTTTAATAGTTCGAGGAAATAAAAGAAAAATTTTAAATGTAGCATTGTAATAGTGAGACAAATTTAACAGTCACACTAAAGATTGTACCTTTCTCGTTTGATTATATTTTAGTAGTTTAGTTATATTTTCATTGGATTATTTTAATTTTATAAACATGACATTTATTTCAATTACTAATAAGTTTTGGTTTGTTTCGAAATTTATTTAATTTTCATGTGTATTTTGATTGAATTAAAAATGTTTATTATTTTAAATAATTTTTCGCACACGTACCATTTTACAATATTTTATATTTTTTAAGTTTATCTTTTCAATTTTTATATTATTTTTGTCGGTTCAATTCGATTTTCACGTATTATATAATTTTAATTAGGAAAAGAATTTATTGTTTACTACAAAAGAATCGGCCCAGAAAAAGAAATAAACGATTACGGACAAGTTGACTCCGTGATTTACGACCGTTCATAGTTTTCCACGTGGCATATTATAAACCGTTGGATATGATGAAATCACGCGTTGGCGTGGCTTTGAGATGTTCCGTTTCCATTTTTTAGCGTGGGAGTTATCGTTGGATATGAATGAGGTGTGTCCACGTGGCAGTCATGCATATGTTTTGGGCCTGAGGATATGAATTTGGGCCTTGGGATGACAACCCTCACGTGAGAACACCATGTTGAACATTTATTAAATAAATCTTTTCCATAAATACTTTAATTTTGAAAACTTGCTTTTCGGTTATCGGATATCATAAACTTTTTTTATGAATAGAATTAGAAAAGTACGTTTAACTTTATTTCTTATTTGATTGTTTTAAAATTCAAATCTTAAATTTGGGGAGAAAGTATATAATCAAAATCACATGATTGATTTTTAATCCCAGAATTAGTTTGAATTTTGATCCAGAATATCCGATTACCAAAAAAAGTTTTCTTGTATTGGATTTGAATTTATTTTTTTCTAAATATTTATTTATTGTAAAATTATTTTGATTCTTTTATTATTTTTATGTTTCGTTTTAGTTCAATTAATTGGATTAAAAATAAAATACACCTAATTAACTTTTAGATTAAGTTAGATGTTAATAAAATTAATTATTTCATATTTAGCAATCAAAATTTACAATTCTAAATATAACCGATGATCATCCATGTTAAATTTCGTCCTAAATTTAATCAAAAAATGAAGTTTATAATATTTTTTATAATATCGACCTAACTAAATCTTCGAAAACCTATATGAATATATTTTTCAGATAGAGATGCCATAATGCGTTAGAAAAAATATTTGCGCCATCTTTTACCAATTGAATCATCTAATTTTGGATAGTGTATAGGATTTTAATTCGAAACACATACTAATAATAATATTTGTTATAAATTGAGACACTTTCATATTGATTTTTGTGGAAACCGAGTGGTGATCACATAGAACGAGAGGGGAAGTACGATAAGATCCATTTGGGTGAGAGAAGGGAGATGTCGGAGTTTTGCTTTGAAACCACTTTTGTCCACACGCACGCATGTCTACGTCCACACCTATGACTAACCCAATGTCAACTAATTAAATTACCAATATTTGAAAGTTATAGAAATGTTATCATTAGAAAATATATATAGTAGTATCATTTGTATTAATAATCAATTTTTATTACAACATCCCTAATAAAGTTTAACATCACAATCTATTTGTAATTCGAGATAAACCATAGAAATATAGATCATTTGAGTTCTATATTCGAACTCGATTTTGGGTTTTTAACAAATAAATTGTTAGAACTAAGGTTTAATATTAGAAAAAACATTATGAAATAAATAATTTGTCATTTTTCTATTTTAAAAAAAAAACAAAAATGGTTGGCTTCGTGCTCCAAATTGTTTATACATAGCATGTCACGTGTGGGTCCAAGGAAAGAAACCGTATCTCATTATAAACTATAAAGTACAACGGAGGAGATGTGATGTTTGGTAAGTGGTGGTAACAATGATAGACAATCATTCAATACCTGTCGTGTCTTTTGCCACGTGTAAGTAAAACACACGTGTCAATCCTCAAAATATTTTAACATGGGCCCTTATTGGGCCTTAAGCTTTTCCTAAACGTAGGGCCCATTAAAATTTAACAGTCCAATTTAGACCCAGTCATGATAGCTTTTCAAGTCGTTAGTGGCCAAGAGCCCAAAATTCGTCCTTTCTATTTTAAATTCTTCTCTCTCTCTTTTTTTTTTTTTAAAAAAAAATATCTATTGAAACTTTGATTAGATTGATTTAAACAGGCATAACACTTAGTTTCACATTCTTGTATAAATTAAATTCTATATTAAAATATTTTATTAGAAGTTAGAAAATATCTCTTGTTTAAAATATGCATAACGGTCTAATTTTTTTCAAGCAATAAAATGGAAATTGTCTCAAATTATATTATTTCTCTATGATGCGACAATCTCCTAATGGGGAAGGTTCCGTGGAATATCCACGAGTACGGAAGATTTTTTTTTTGGTTAACCAGGAGATTTCTAGGTCTCCGGCCCAACCTACGTTTTTCTAGATCCGGAAGCTATCTTTGTAACACATTTAATTGCGCAATTTCTCCCCACATGCGAAGTTGAACGCTTGACCTAAGAACCTTTGGTATAACCGGCCAGTCATTCGACCACAAACATGTGGGTCATTGTACCTAGATTGAGTTGGGTACGAGGTCGGCAATGGGAGAATCCGAGTTGCAAGTTTGAATCGATGGGTTTTCTGTACTCTAGAGAGAGGGCGAGCCGACGAGGGATGCGAGACCGTAAAGGGTGAGATGACGAGACTCGAGAGAGATAAGCAGCAAGAACGAGGGGCAAGAAGGTGGTGGCTAGAGGATTAGGGTTTGCCTATTAACCTTAAAACCGATGTTTTGTTTTTTTTTTCTCTCTTTATTTTTCTCTTGAAAAATCATTTGGGTATTACTTTACTTCAGGATTTTGAGAGAGATGCGATTTAAAAATGAGAGGATGAATTGCAACGTTTTCAAAGTTGTTGCGTATTTGCTCTAATAATAATAATAATAATAATAATAATAATAATAATAATAAATGTAATCGAATTAGAGATATGTTGTGATAAATGGGCAAGGTGGACAGGCAAGAAAGGAACGTTCAACAGTTAAACAGATGATCTTATAATGTGTTTGGCCCCAAGTTGGCTTAAAAGGTGTTTTGTGTCTAATCATGTTGGTTGGGTTTTTAATCACTCCCCCAAAATCGTGTTTGGTTACAGGCGCATGTAGATTCTAGGTTAGTCTTCTTTCTATGTCACGGAATCTTACAACTGTATATATATATATATATATATATATATATATCGAGATTAATCATTTTATATAAAATTAACATGTCAATTTGAAACATGATTACCTCGCACTAACTACAACCACCAATATCATCCAAACAAAACCAGAATATATATAGATCATGCCCATCTTAATCCCAATCTATGGATAAATTATAAATAAGTGCGATGATTTTAGAGAATTTTAAATAGTTTATTTTAGGTCTTTGTCTTTGATGAATATGTAATATTGAATGGAACTAAATAATGTATAATCGTATTTGAATAAAAATCTAATCTAGAAAATAATTGGGTAGAATATTTTTAAATTTAATTAAAATTTTGAAAGGAATATAAAAATATTTGAAAAATAAAAACTATTTTTTCAATAAATAATATTTTAAGTCAAAATAAATTTATTCGATTTCAAACAGAATGGCTGAATAGAGGATTGACATAAAAATTAGGAAATATAATTTTAAAGAACAAAAATAAACATAATATAAATATACAAAAAATATTTTTTGTGTGTGTGTGGAAAAATATATATAAAAATAATTAATTAAGATTTTAAATGAATTAAATTTTTCGAGTTTTTGTTAGTTAAAAACTAAAAAAAGTCTCAATAAAAGTCAAAACCATTTTTTTATATATATTTTAGCTAAAAAACAATTTGTTAGTAGATTTTTTTAATTCTTTATTAAAAAATAATTATGTATATTACTCTAAAGACAAAAATATCCATTATTTTAAACATAGTTTCACACTATCCATATGTGTACAAAAACCAAAAACTAAAACTAAATACCAAAAATAAAAAATAAAAACAAAGAACTCAAAATAAAAACTAAATTCATTCTAAAGTGTATTAAAGAGGATGATGACATGTATAAAACGGGTTTACAAGCAGTGTGTAAAATGATTGATGGTTATGGTAAGGATTAATTATCGATTTAAGAGATAGCTCTCATTAATCGAGATACTCCCGAATGTTATGAAATCCGATTATTTATAACAACCATGCAATTCAAATAATATGCTAATTAATCTAGAAAGAGAGAGAATTCCATTATTTTTGCAATAATTGTTTTTTTTTTGTAATAAAATGTAAACAAAACCTTTTGTTTGGCTATATAGTCAAATAGTTGTCATTTGATTAAAGACTTGACCTACCACATGCTTTTGTATGTATCCAAAGTGAGTTCATATATATATATATATATATATATATAAAAGAATAAAAATGGCTTCAATATATTTTTTATTATTTATTTTATGTATTTTACTTTATTAACTTTCTAAGTCATTCGTATAAAAAATAGATAAAACTATTTATTGACACCAAACGATCTAAATTTATCGTCGGCATTGGCATATTTGTTCCTCCAATCCTTAATCTATAAATGAAAACTAAACAGTAAACACTTAATATCCACATATATAGCTAGTCCTACAATACCGTCGGTCACATAATTAAACTATTAAGTGTTTTCTATTTAGTTTTCATATATAGATTATTTGTTTCCCATATATTGTTTTTTTAGTTATTATTTTTCATAAAAATCAATATTATTTTATGAAATTTAACAACTTGAGGGGAGAAATGAAAATTTTAAGATAATAAAGAGCTCCTTGACTAAACTAAGGATTAATATTGTTTTAGAATCCCCTGTTTATTTAGACGCACCGCCCTTATAAGGCCATCTTTTAATATATATATATATATATATATATATATATATTCTCTTAAATACACTACTTAATTAGCAGCATTTTAATTTTAATTTTTACACGGATATATGGTTAGTTTTCCGTTAATTTTGCTTATGAAATAAAATATTTGCAGGATTTTAATGTTATTCGACCAACTTACAAATTTGTGTCTTTTCAACATGGTTAGTAGTAACACCCAACAAGGTTTCACGGGTTTAGATTATCATTACTCAATTTCTGATCAGTAACATAATTATTGGATCAGTAAAACAGTAAATCGTGTTAATTAACACGTAGAATTATATTGAATAAAAATATATGAAACAGATGTTTCCTGATACTGGAATATTATGTTTCCGTGTTCAGTGATATATATATATCGTCTATTTAATTAGAAGTTTAATCGGGTATTTAGATTCTATAATCCTATTCTTATCCGGTTTTGTAAAATAATTTTTATCTACTGCACGTTTTCAACGTTCCGCGCAACTCGCCAAGCACAAACCATACACATCCATCTACTACACTCATATCATATACATATATACACACACATACACACACCAATATTATTGATGTAACACTATCAACGCAAAAAAAAAAAAAGCGGAAATATATAAATATTTGTTTTGGAAAAAATATCCTAAAAATGATGAATTTTCAAAATAATTCCATATAAAATTTTTGATATGTGATGTAATTTCTATATAAAGTTATGATTTTTTTTATCTTGTGGTATTTCTGTAAAATTTACAAGTTCACGATTTTATAAAAAAATTTAAAAATTTATAAAATTAGTAGATATGTGGAAATATGATAAGATTTATAAAACTCATGATTTTATATAAAAGTAATAAAGTTCGCAATTTTATATGGAATTTTTTTATTAAAAAAAATCGTGATTTTTAGGCTGTTAGTTTATTTCTATATTTTTAATTACATTCTATATATATATATACACACATACTGTTTAAGAGTAATATATATATATATATATATATATATATATATGTACACGCACCAAACAATCCAAACAAAGAATAATAATGTAGACATACATAGTGGTCTAGAATTGAAAAAAATAAAATAAGAGAGAGAATATATAAGACAATGGGGAAATCTCATTTTCAATCATTTGTTTTTACAAAAAATAAAAAACATGGGATGATAATATGATTGATGGATGTACATTAACCATAAATCTCAAAAGTTTTCAACTTATTAAATGAAGTCCTTATAAGGTGGCAATTGAATCTCTCATTGCCACTTTGATGACATATGACTTACCAAAACGAAACTACACATTTACCATTTTCCTCTTTTTTTTTTCTTCTTTCAAATTTTATCTAAAACATATATATATATATATATATATATATATATATATTAGAATGTAAAATTATATATTTGTAGCCTTGGAAAATTAAAAGTTCTAAAGTCACAGACCAAAACAGATATCACATGGGCTTTCTGAGCAATGCTTGTCTTGTTCCAATATATACTTGGATACTTTGCATATCCGTTAGTAATTTTTTTTGCATGTCAGTAATCTTTATTTTTTTTTTAAATTTACATTGTTTTATATATGGAAACTGAAATCAACCTAACAAAAATGTCCACTAAAATTGTAAATATTGCATGTTCAATATAAACTGAACATGATGGAAGATAAATATTTTTTAAAATAAAAATTTTATGTGCAGTCAGCAGTTTAAATTAAATGAAAATTTTAAATAATTTTTTTAAAATTTAATATTCAAAATTATTTAAAAATGACTAAATTAAAATCAAAACAATATTTGAAATATTCATATGAGATTTATTTTTTTAAATATCTAAAAACAACGAAATCTAGGCTTCATAATAGAAAAAAAAAAGTAGCATAATTTCTAGCAACTTCTCATGTTCAAGTTTTTTTAAAAATTTTGGTACAAGAAAATTTTCTTTCATTTATACGTTACATTATTTTCTTTTTTAACCTTTTCACAACAATTATTATGATTTAGGCAAAAGAAAAAGAAACAAAAAAACAACAACTGTTTTCTCGATATATGAATATTTCAGATAATAGATTCAGTTAATCTCAAAATATTCATAATTACTATATGCCTACAAAAATTTACCGGAGAAAATTAGCTGAAATTAATTACTGTGTTTTAATGCTATTCAAGAATTGCTTACAGTTAAAAAGTAATTAACCGCTCCTTAATCCCACGATTAAAAACAAAAAACCGCCTATAACCATAGAAGCATAGCGTCGGAGATTGCCTGATGACGTGGCACTGTATTTCGAACAGCCACTGTAACAATTAGTAAATGTGATTTTATTAAAACAGATCCTTTTTAGATTTTTCCTCTTCTGTTCACCAAAACATAATCTTTGAGGCTAAATCCTCCGCGTCTTCCCCGATTCCTCCGATTTCTGCTTCAATGGGCGTTTGATTTGTTCGGGACGGTGTTAGGTGAGGGAGATGCCGCGTTTATGGTGTTTCTTGTTTTTTTTTTTTGTCTGGTTTTCTCTTGCTTTCCTTGTTTGGTTGCCGAGAAAACTAGAGAGGAAATGGCGGAAAATTTTTGGAATCTGAGTAGCTTGTGTGCCTGCCTGCTTTTGGTTGCATGGTTTTGGTGGCCGGTAGATCGAAGTGGAGCTGCCAGTGATTGATTGGTTTTGTACTTGATTCACTGGGCTCACTACTACACTGGTGGAGAAATGAGATTTGGGGTTTTTTGAATTAGATTTGCTTCTTTCTCGGAATGAGATTTGGGTTTGTTCGGTTTTCAGTGACGAGGAACAGCGTTTTTCCTATTTGGGTTGTTTCGGTTTACCGTAGATCGATTCGACCAGGATATAGATGTTGATGGGTAGATTAGTGAGTAGACATTGCTGGATTTGTAGAAAGTTTCCCTCGATTCATCATTCACTTGGCGAGAAACATCTGATTGCGTAGTATAAGAGCCCTGGTTCTGTGGAGAAAAATGCCTGTTGTATATAGATTGATCTAACTATACGTAGATGCCTTCTTTTAAGTGTGGTTAAATCCTAGTGTTTGCTGAATCTTGATTGATGTTTGGCCATCACTCATGGCAAGTGATAATCCCTTTGTTTGTGTTTGTAGTGTTCATCATGGACTCCAAAAACATCATCGCTGTGGATGGGACAGAATCTGCCCTTGAGAATGGCAGTGTAGCCAATGAAGCTCCAGCTGCAGCCGAAAACGGGGTTGTCTCCAATTGGTTAAATGGGACTACTGGAGAAATCTTGGAGTCCGAATCTGAAATTCGGAACGAGGATTCAGGAAGTCTTGCCAATTTGGGTGGCAGCCAGAACATTAAAAAAGCAACCATGGTTGGTGACCTAGGAAAGCTCATTTTGCTTCTCCTGGTAGACAAACTCTTGTGACTAACACAATAGCTTACCCTTTCCATTGTAGGGCACACAAGTTGAAAATGTGAATGATCCAAAGCATTCTAGAGCGAAAAAGGCTCAAGGAAAGGTCAAGGGTGAGAAGTCCTCTGCTGGCAAGAATGCATCATCGGTCTCAGTTAAGAAGAAGGACAGCAATGAGAAAAATGCAGAGGCCAAGGTGGCTGCATCAAATGGCCCTACTGCACATACGGCAAAGTCTCTTAAGAGCAAATCCTTTAACGATAGGCAGGCTCGTGTCATGAAGGTGACGCCTCTCACCATTGGCCTTTAGGCTGCCTTGAGTTATAATAATCTTGTTCCCTTTTTGTATTGATTTTGCTTTTGTAGACGCCTTGGATTTCTTGAACTGATAGTGTTTATGATTTCTTCTTTCTCACATCAGCATGGACAGCATGACACAGAACCAACTGAAGCTGCCGGGTGGGGACCTTCTTCGAAACTTCTTTGAAGTCTTTAGATTTCACATAGGCTCAATACGAAGAGCCAAAATATTTTCCACCCCGATTTTGGTTTCACAACTCCTATGTGTGTCATTCATTCATTATTTCTTCTACTTTTTGAAACTGAAGAGTTCTTTTATCTCCGTGATGCAGGGAAAAGACTGAACTGAAGCCTCTGAAGAAACAATCCCATGACACATCCGAAGGGGATTCTGAGTCTTCTAAGTATCAATTTTACCTTTCTTTATGTTTTCTGTCTTATTTAATGTGTGAATTGTGCAAGCTGTAGCCTTTCTTCTTTCACTATTGTTTCTCAATTTTTAACCCTTTTTTTAAAAAAAAGTTTAAAACTTGATTGGCCTTTTTAGAAGTCCAAAAGCAGAAGATGGCAAATCTCGCAGAGTTGGTGCCCTTCCAAATTATGGGTTCAGTTTCAAATGTGACCAACGGGCTGAGAAAAGAAGAGAGGTTTGATTTTGCTCCCCACATTTGTCCTCCACATACACAATCAAATAAATTTCATATATCATTGTCATGTTCTGCAGTTCTACACTAAGTTGGAAGAAAAGATTCACGCAAAAGAACTGGAAAAGAATGACATGCAAGCTAAGTCCAAGGTTGTGTTCTGTGTTCTCTTGTTTGTCAGGATGTTTTGGTGCTCTATCTGTTCTTCTTTGGTTGAAATCCTCGGTTTTCCTCGTAGGAAACACAAGAAGCTGAGATTAAGATGCTAAGGAAGAGTTTGAACTTCAAAGCGACGCCGATGCCTAGCTTCTACCAAGAACCTCAGCCACCAAAAGTTGAGTTAAAGAAGGTATTTCTCTGTTACTGTAACATCTATCACATCGTATTCAAGTTTAAGCTGTATATATACACACACTTTTTGTGTAAATTTAACTTGTAAGCAGATACCACCGACGAGACCCAAATCTCCAAAACTTGGGAGGAAGAAGATTGTGTCTGTAGCGGATTCTGAAGAATCCACTGAGCAAACCCCTCGTATCGGTAGGCTGAGTCTAGATGAGAAGGGTTCCAAAATTAGCCTGGGGGCAAAGGAAACTCTCCCAGTTGATTCCAAGAAGCCACATTTGCGCCGGTCCCTCCCCAGGTTGCCCTCTCAGAAAGCAGGTTTGTCCAACGGGAAGAACGAGGGAAAAGCCTTACCACTGGCCAAAGCTGGCGCAGACTCGATGAAAGCAAAACCCGAAAAGACAAAACCTGAGAAAGATGAAGATTCCACCAACCAAGACCAAGCTCCTACAGCCGAGACATCCAATGCTCACCAAGATGCGCGTGATCAAAGTACAAGGGAAGAAGACAAAGCTGAATCTCCCATGGCATTGGAACATGTTCCGGTCGAGCATTAAACTCTCCGTGGTACGATCACCACCCTCTAAATCTCTGAACCTCGTTCTTGCATAAATTAAGGAGCTTGAAAAAAAAACACGGACCATATCGATGAAATGGTCAGAAGATGGAGAAGAAGAACTCGAAAGAGAATCCGGGCATGAAGTTTGTATGCAGGTTGTGCCTTTTTGTTCATGCTTTGTGCGTTTGCTTCCGCAGATTTGTTGCTCATCTACTACATATATTTTCTTCTCGTTTCTTTTTTTAGTAAGCAAAGCTTTCAGTGGTGTTTTTGCACAACGTTTGGTTTTATAATGCTTAAATTATGTTGTTTGATGAAAGATCCTCTTTTTCCCCTTCTATTTATGCTTTTTATTCTTCAAAGATGAATTTCAGAGATTCTGTGAGCTTTCTGTGCTGTTTGAGACATTATTATATATGTATTAGGTTTTGTTGAAGAAACTCTCTTGGACCACATTTTTATTTTATTTTATTGTCATTCTCTTTTGGTTTTTATATTTTGGGAAACTCGTCACTTTTTTTACTGAGATTTAGCAATGCATTTATTTATAAGCGATTCAATATGGTAAAACCTGTATTTTTGAAATTCGGTGGTATGAAAATCATCGAATCTGATATAATTTTGTTTCAAATAATATTGAATTAATAGTCGATCCAAATTAAAGCCATTTTAGAAATTGAATGTCTTTTTTCCAATTCGAACATAACTTAAACTGATTTTTCATACAACAATTCAATATATGTAATTTTTCAAAATTGAAACAAAAAATTTTAAAAAAAATTGAAGCGAATATGTGCTGCTGAAATCCGTCTAATGTTTTTCCCTGTATTCTTTACCTTGCCGTATGATAGAGGGAAAATAAAGAAAAAAAATATTCTAAACGTATATGAATATATTTGTATAGGATGAAAATTATAGCGCGAAAGAAAGTCCAAGACAAATCCAATAAACAAAATATCGGAAATACCAAAACAAAAAAGAAATACACATTAGTAATGTTAATTATTTATACACATGAACCTTTTTTGTGTAGATATCCACTAGTGTTCTATAAACAAACGTAATGTTTCAAGGGCTAAATGTGCAGAATTTTTTAGAGTTGCATTCCACATTGGGACATGGCATTTTTGGTTGCAAAATATTATTTTCGACCTTTTAATCGAATTTCAATTGGTCAAAAAAATAATTTATGAAAAAACTAAGTGATTGTATCCAAAGTTAGGAAGGATCGCCAGGAATTAATCTGAAACGGGCATTTTTCCGATTCCTGCTCATACCAAATTTGCTTGCAAATTTATCAAAGTTATCTCCAAGGGTTGACGAAGAGAGGCAGTGCCTAGTCAGATTCAAATAAAAGTCGCCAATACGAAAACGCGTCTTCTCGAAGGGTTCCGTATCGTTTACTTAAAAAATACCACACTACTCGGCGGTCTGGAAGTGGAAGGTACCAAATCCCCGAGAGTGCAAAGAGACTAATCGAGTTTCTTACGGTCAACGAGAGAGAGAGAGAGAGAGAGAGAGAGAGAGAGAGAGAGAGATCCCATCCAAAGCCACTTCCGACATTATTAACAACATTGTCCCCACTTTAAGGAACACCTCTCATTTGAATAACAATAATAGCATAGTAAAACTCACTCAACATCCCAAAAGGGCATTACTACACATCTGTTTCCGGTTTATCAGATCATTACATAGCCTCTGGTTAAAAAAAACAAGAGGGCTTTGGCAAAAACTTGACCAACAAAAAAAAACAACTCCTCAAAGACAGAAAAGAGTTGTCGCAGCAAAAAGCCAGACAGTTCTCTACGAGATCTGATGGACTTTTGCCACGAAAAAACAGCCAAAGCTAAGCCTCCGAACCAACCAAAGATGCCATTTTCCGATCTATGAACCGCAAAGACGGACGATAACCGAAACAACGTTCCTTCGACTCATAAGCATAAACGCAAAACCCTTCGAGCAAAAACTGACCCGACACAAACTAGAATTCTAGACTAGACATAGACCACCGACACAGAGATAAGGCCTCAGAACCCGGTAACCGTATTCTCAAGGACACCATGGCCTAACCGATGGGGAAACAAAACAGAGTACCTTATCGGAAACCCTGCAAAAAATCGGAGGCCATAATGCCTACTTGGAAAAAGGAACCAGGTGCTGAGCCGAGTGAGGAAAGGCATAGACCACACAGCCTGAAAAAAGACATAACATACCGAGAAACCGAAACTGGACAAATACTGGAAGAGAGAACCTGCATAGCAAACCTTCGAGCCATACTTTGACAGGGAACCCCAATTAGTAGCTAGCTTGGTGGATCCCAGTTTAGTTTTTCTACCTCGTTGATCGAATCAGTAGAGGATGTCACACCTCCAAAGCTGCTCGATCAGGAGGTCCACGTTGGCAGTGGAGATTGATTGGCAATTCTGGACGTTCAATCCCAAAAGGGTTCTACCCAACTTCCCGAGGGCAGGCATGCTCTTGTCAGTGACCATAGAGCAACCCGATAAGGAAAGGATCTGAAGACTGAGCTTGTTGGAGGAAGCCAGGCCTTGGACCCCAAAATCAGTCACAGCACAGTTTGACACGTCCAAGTCACTGAGGATCTGGCAGTTTTCAGCAATTGAGATCAGGCTGGCATCCGTGATCTTGGTGCATCCCTCGAGGTTCAAGGCTTCGAGAGTCCAATCGCTCTGAACAGAGATGGCAGAGACCACTCTGTCGGTCAAATTGGAACAACCGCTGAGGTTGACCTTCACAAGACTAAGCTGGGAGGTCTGGACTAGTTGCAGAAGCCCAGAATCTGTGATCCCATTGAGTCCACAGAAGACAACATCCTGAAGGCGAGGGCAAAGCTTCCCCAGGGCAGCCAGGTTGGCATCACCAAAGCCCGGGCAGTTGCGGATAGATAACGAGCGCAGGGTGTTGCAAGGTGATGACACGGGCAATCCTGTGGTGAGATCTCTAATGCCCAAACAGTTGGCTAGTGAGAAAGCCCTCAGCTTCGCACCACAGTACAAAAGGGAACCAAAAAACCCAAATTGGGTAACCCTGTGGCACTCTTCAAGTTGGAGGCTCTCCACTGACGATGAAGATTTGGCAAAAGAGACTAATCCATTGTCAGATAACAACGGGCATTTACTCAGGAACAACTTCTTCAGGTTAGGACTGCCCTTCCCAACAGCTTCAAGACTCATGTCAGTTAATCCCGGACAGGATGTGACGGTTAATGAATTCAATTTTTGTAGACCGACACCATTACCCATGACCCAGAACCCTTTCTCGCTCACATTAGGCAATCCAGAGAGCACAAGATCGGCGACCGAGATGCCGTAGTGACCAACAACAGCAAGAGACACATCAGTGATTTTCAACATCTGAAGCTTTAGTTTCATCAAGGAATAGGTGGCCTTTGACAGCAGGGATACGATTCCTTGATCCCTGACAAGAGGGCAGTTCTTGATCGAGACTGACTTTAGTTTGGGGCAGAATTGTGCTACAGCTTGAAGGCATTCGTTTCCAATACTTGAACATGACTCGATTGACAGCTCGCTCATGTTCGGACAGCACTTTGCAATCGCGACCAAAGCCTTGTCAGTGACCGTAGGGCAACGGCACAAGTCAAGCTTCTCGAGTTGGGAGCAACCCTTGGCAATCTCCAAGAGACCATTGTCACTGATGGTAGACAGATTCCACAAGGAGAGAACTCTCAGAGAAGGGCAGCCACGTCCAATTGCCCTTAGGCCAAGATCTGAAACCCTGCTGGCAGAATTGTTACCACAGATAGAAAGCTTGCCGAGTCCCCCACGGCCAGTGGTTCCAACAGCTATCGCAGCTAGTCTGACATCGGTTGCTTTCTTCCCTTCTAAGCTCCTGGACAGGTATCCATTGGACTCAACATCATCTTCACCATCTCCCTTGGAAGCCCCGTCCTTGACTTTGTTGCTGATAACTTCCAGCTCATCTTGATGGATGCTGCTCAGAAGATTGAGCCAACGCTTCGAAACCGAAGCACAGGCACACCTCTCTTGGGCCCCAGGCATCCGCCGGAAGATCTCGAAAAGGCACTCATCGGGCAGCACATCGATAGAAACTGGCTCTTGCTCGAACGCCCTGGCAACCAAGGGTGCACTGACACGTGACTTCTTGCGAGGCGGGAAATAAACATCGACGAGACTGCCAAGCGATAGCAAAAGGCTAGTCTCCTTGGGGTTTGGGTATATCGAACCACGAGGGCAAAAATCACTTTCACCTATACAAAGATGGAAACAACAAACGTCAGAAAGATCTGTATTGCGCACTCTCGTGCAAAACATGAAATCATACGAGAAAAATCATCACATCAACGGAGATGATGTGAAGCAGCAAACAAGAACAGGCTCCAAATAATAACCCACGAATCATGGATCCACCGAGTCACCGACCCCACGACAATCCACAGTGCATCTCTTACCAACCACCATCACAGAACATAATAGATCCAAGACCTGTATTCTTTCTAATAATTCGATTTAGCTCCATAAAGCCCAGAAAACTATCACATAGAGATCTATATATCTTTAATGCTTTGTAAACCCCACAAGGAGTGATCAAGCGACCCACGTAGCAAAAACGATTCTATAACCCTAGCTTGTCAAAAACTATCCAACCCGGTAACCTCAGATTCCAGCTAATCAATCATATTTCCTGAACCAAAGCTCAAGATGGCCACCCCCCACCCCAAACTATTTCATCTTTTTTTCCCACAGAGACCACATGCAAACCACGGGGATCAAACAAAAAACAGCCGATCCACTAACTTCCAAATCGAAATCAAAAGAAACAGGATGAGTTCAGGAACATACCAGCGAAGCTGAAGATCTCAGACATGGTTGAAGCTCAGAACTCCGGGGGAAACAGAAACCGATTGATTCCTCAAGCAAAAACCCCTGGAAGGGAGCAAAAAAGAAAGATCCGAGGAAAACGAAGAAGAAGACGATCAAAGCTGCTTCGTTGAGATCACCGAAAGTGAGGAACATGAAGATCAAAGATCATGGGGACGAGGAGAGCGAGGAAACCCTATCAGATAGGGCAAAAAAAAAGGAGAGAGAAAGAGGAAAGAGAGAGGAGAGAGAGAGAATTGGAATGAATGAAGGGTCAGTATGAGGTCAAGATATGCCCTTTATACACGCACTCGGAATCCACATGCAATGTATTTGCGCAAAGAACGTGGATTTTTTCTTTTATTATTTAAAATATATCTGATTATTTATTTATTACTCTGTTATTCCAATGCCAGAAGATACCGAATTCCCCTTTGGGGTTGAGTTTGGGCCAAGCTGAGGGGCTTGTTTGGTTGTCGGTTTATGAATTGGGGTTGTTTGGTTTCTGGGATATCTCTGCTCTCTACCCATTTACTTTTTCGTTAAGGAAAAAACAAACATTGTTTTTACCTTTCCCCCCGGAAAGAACCACCATAGCAACAAAATTAAATAAACATATGACCAAAAATATCTCTAAACTTAAAATAAAAAATTGTACTTAAAAGTAGATAAACTAAATTATAAATCCGAATATCATAAAAACAAATTTATAAGAATATATCTACAATGTTCTGTAAAACAAAATATTTGTATGTTGCTATAACCAAAAATATAAAATGCAAAAGAAAAAACATAGCAATAAGAGGGAAAAAAAGTTGTTCTTGGACTAGATAAAAGAAATTTAAACTTAAAAACAATTTCCAAAATGTGGTATTTTATTTGCATTAAAACATATTAGGGTTACATAATCGATAAAACTATATGAAAAAATCGAAAGTATTCTACTCGGATGTGTTAATTATCAAATTTTATTTGGGGATGATGTTTTGTTTTAGTAAAATTTGTACTTTTAAAAATTGGAGTTTTTGGTAAATCGGAGCCAAGAGAGCCAACATTTTCCAACGGGCCAAGTTGGGTAATAAATTATTAATCCTCCGAGATTTCCAACTCACACCACTTGTGAGACGCCACGTGGGCAGCTAATTACAATTAGTGCCAGCTTAATTCACTCCTTAATCAACTTGATTCCTTTCCCTTTTTATAAAATTGTAAACTACACTTTTTCCCACTTTGAATCAATGTAAATTTAAAGAAGAAGAAAAATATAAAACATGTACTACGTGTAATACATACATACATATATTTATATACGATAAAGATAAAGAAAAATCATGAATTAATTTCATTTGATAAGAAGTTGTTATCCGAAATTTAGAGATAAAAAACAGTTTCGGATTTTGTTGGGGACAAAAAAAATGGAAATAAATGTTAATACCAGATTGGATTTTACTGCAAGTCTTGTACTGATTTTTACAGCTTAGATTATTGTATAAAATTCTAAAATTGATATTTGTGTTTCCGTTTACTTACAATTAAGATTGGTTTTAGAATTAGGGTTTTATTAATTTTAGATCAATATAAATGTAACTAAAACATGATACCTTAAAAATATTCATTTGTATACATATAGTCTAAATAACAAATAAATTTATTATATTATCCTTTATATTACATTCAACCTGTTTATTTATTATATTGAAATAGCATGTTAGAGTTTAAAACTTATTTCTGCAACAGATAATGCGTACAAGGGATATAAAAGTATTAAAAGCTTATTTTATGATTTACAATTATCTTCCTTAGTATTTCTAGTTTCTACTGCATTTTATCTTTGATAAAAGTTACCCAAAACGTTTCAACAAAATAATAAGAATATATTTGTTGAAACATTTTTATATTAATTTAAAATACAATTATATTTAAACCAAATATTAAGTATACCAACCAATTAAATATAAAATTTGATATTAAGTTAACCAAATTCAAATTAACTTTGACCAAATATAAATTTAAAAATACGTATTTTAATTTTTTAGTAAAGACCTAATTCAAATTGAATCTAAATAAAATTCGAAAATATAAGATATTCGTATTTAAAATTTACGCTTACAAAAATTCGAAAAAGGTAGAAATATAATTTATAACCAAGAAAGCGTGAAAATATAACCTAGGCGAGGGTTCAAAAAACTTAGGTGGTGATTTCGTGGAAAAAAAAAGAGAAGAATAGTAAAAATAATAAATTATAAAAATATAAAAAAATAATAAATTATAAAAAAATAGTTACCTCCTCAACTTTAATCTCCAAATGCCTTAACCAAGGCGCGGAGAATTAAATTAAAGTATATAAAATAAATTAATTATCCACAAAATGAGGTTCATGCATGCAGCCATGGAAGATTGTTTTATGACAAATTGCAATAAATTAATTTATTAATGTACCCTGTTTGATTATCGAGCCGGTGGTCCATTTCCGAGAAAATATGCATAAATTGTGCAAGTTGTACACGCGTTGAGCTATAGGTATTCATTTGGGTTCAATCAAATAAGTAAAATTTTAATGCATTTAGTGAATACTTGAATAGTATATAATAGTATCCCAATTCATATAATCTAGAAATTATTTGAAAAACGTTTTTTTTAATGATCGAATCTAATTAAATTTGATATAAAAACAAAACAGATATATTCTATTCTAGTTCTTAAAAAATAAAAATAAAAATATCGAAAAAAATAAATCTAAAACGAAAATGCGAATTGCAATTTCAACCATTTTAAAAATTTCTCTTGAAAAAAAAAATATACGCGTGGACAAATTCAGCAACAACCACAGATGATAAATATGTATGGATACACGTTAGTATAGACTATAAATTAAACCACATATTTTTTTTCATTCCAATGACATTTTTATATTATTTTGGTCGAAAGTTTCTTCAATGAAATGAAAAAGAAAATTTAAGACAAAAAAAATGCAATTAAAGGAATCTAGGAGTTTATTTTTATTTTCAGACAACATATGACCATAAAAGGCACACAGGAAATGGCCACAGACAAATCATAAAAATGGAAAATAAATTGAAATGCGTAAAAGGAATCTCAATCATACAAGCCCTCTTGCTCCCACACATCCACAAGAAAATGTACCATTTCCTGTTCAAAGAATCCAACATTAGTACCAAAGAACGAAGAACCCTCCAGACGAAAAGGAGGATTCTTTGAACAGGCAATAATCGTAAATTCATTCACCTGAAGAGGAATCCGCCGTGGAAATGGCTTGTTCGTGCTCAATAAGCTCTCGTACGTCGTGTTCCAACTGCGAAAACCCATCCGTAAAGCCAAGAAATCGATCCATAAACAATGTTTTTATCTTTTTAACAGTGTATCATCAAGCAGAGTTCAACTAAAGATTTTATCTCTTGTATTATTTTTTCCTTTGGATTCCGATGATGCAAAACCAGATCATATAAAGCACGAGATTTACGTGAACTCGACAAGCAGATTCACGGAAAGGGTTTTCACCTTATTGCAGGCTCTCGAACTTGAGGCTGCTTCCGAGAGTTCTTGCCAGAGAGCCACTGCTGTCTGCTTTGGTTCCACAGAATAAGTCCTGCGAGGGGAGAGAAAAAATGGCGAGTTCTTGCTTCATTTTAGGTTTCAGCACAAAGCAAAGACATCGAACAACAGAAATCTATACGAATCATCACCCGACATTGTGATCTGGACATTTGTTTCGCACGGATACACTTCTGTTCGGATGTTTATCTAAGCGTATACATGTCTACATGCAGATGTGAAATCATGCATTGGTGTTTGTTGGCGTATATCTAGATCTTATATCCTATGTAGCCGGTGAAGTATATGGAAATCAATCATAATATATATATATAGAGAGAGAGAGATGCGTAGATGTGTGTATATATACACACACATTTACCCACCCAGATATATAAAATACTTATGTATCATATCAAGTATATGGTTGGATTATCTCGGTTACCATGATTGACAAACTCTGGATTGTTGCTCGTGCTACTTTGGGGATCGAGAGGAAGGTTCAAAGTGCTAATAGAGGAGACGCTTCCTCGTGATTGCAGTGTGCTGTTTTCCATTTCGCAAGTGCTCGTGCTCCAAAAATCATCTGAAAAACCGGTTTTCTTCACGACCCGTCCTTGGATTTTCAGCCCCTTTGATGGCTCGTCTACTGCTATGACAGAAGGGGTTGGTGGTTTGTTACAGCATCCAAAACAACCTCTGCTCTGTATGGAAAGCACCATCAATGGAGAATGGGGAAAGAGAAAACAAGAAACGATTAGCAGTTCATCTCTTTCTCTGACCCGTCAAATATGAAATTCTCAAATGCAATTTATAATGAACTCAATAAGGAGAAAGCTGTAAACTTTTTTGAAAATAAGACACAGATGCAAGCAAACTGTCCACCCAAATTCATTAACATGATTAAATAGGACTTCAGAGTACTAAAGAATGCAGCTCCTGAACTAAGGATGGAGTTTCAAACCAAAGACTGGTAAGTAAAAAAGACGTAATCATCGCCATAAAGACAGAAGAGAAATCAAACTGTTTTTGTTTAAACCAAAATCAGATTGGTTTTGCTCACTTTGACGAGATTTTGCACTTTGTAGTAAGAGATTCCATCAACCAACTAGGGAGAGCTCGAAAGATAGCCCCCAAGAATTGAAAGAATGAACAAGAAGCAGGCATAGCTTCCTACAGCATCTGACATATACCAAAGGCAAATATAATTTCTGTGACTTAAATCACCAAGAAATGAATCTCAAAAGAGAGTAACGACAAATCCAGAAGGGAAGAACTACAGGAAAAGTAAGCACAGGACATGAATGTCTCCGAGGTTCCTCACAGGACAAGCAAACACTAAGTACAAAGAGATTCGGTTTGATTAGATGCAAGCAAGGTATAATCATATTGGTAAGTTGAGTTTATACACAGTATCTCTCAAGCTTCCCATAGAAAAATGGAGAATAACCCACAAATCTTCGACTAAAATCAATGCCAAGATTTTGACAAGTTAATGATAACAGAACCTAGACACTACCCAAAACAAGCAAACACTGAAAAGAAAGCATCTTTTCCCCCAATTTTCATCTCATCATCCCAACCAAAAGAAGTAATCTTTCTGTTCCTTTACAGTACTTTCTAGCAAACCAAACAGCCCCAGAAAGGGAAACGGAAAATCTCCAAAAAGAAAACGAGAGCGAGAGAGACTAATAACTCACCCCATACAGGCAATTAGATCAGAGATCCAAGAGGGAAGATAGCTTAAAATCTGCATCTACAACAACCAACTGAGAGATCTTATGAGCAAAACTCTAATCCCAGGAAGAAGCAGCCTAACAATCCTGCACCAATACAACGCAATTCGTTTCTTTTTTTCAAGGAAACATCACGAAGGAGATCCAAAGTAGCAGTTTTTGAAGAAACCCAGGAGAAAACCAAACAAAAACCTTAGAAATGGCATGGTTCGGCTAGATTTAGATTAGGGGTGGGGTTCTTCTGGAACTCTTAGTATTCCACCAAAACGAAAAGGAAAGGAAAGAAAAGGAACTTTTTTTCCGGCACTGTAATCAGTCTCAAACCAAGTGGCTCTGCTCCGCTCTCTTTCCCGTTTTGCTTTTTGATTTCTGGATTCTTGAAAAGGAAAGGGAGCTCAAAGTGGTGATCTTTTTCTGTCACTGCTGATCTGGGTTTCTTTCTCCGAAAATGATTCATATAAGATATAATTCTATCTGAAGCGCCTGTAGCTCAGTGGATAGAGCGTCTGTTTCCTAAGCAGAAAGTCGTAGGTTCGACCCCTACCTGGCGCGTATTATAAATAAATTTAATAGTAAACGTAAATATTTTTTGTTTTTTTATGATTCTGAAAATAAATTTACTATTCATTAGCATAGAATTAATTAAACATGCTTCATGAGTTATGTTCTTGTGTGGGCGACCATTGGTAATCTCTATTTATATTAATTATCCTCCCAAAATAGCAAGATGATGAGTGAATAAGAAATCTAATTTTGGGTGGGATAGTTGTAAAAAAACATACAAAATATGTTATTATCCTGTAGTCAAATTTAGCTGTGGGAAGGGACATTCACCCCAAATTTTATCATTCTTGTAGAAGATTAATTAGACTAAAGGTTTGATAAATTTTCTGATTATAAAAAAATAGTGAATAATTAGTACTCCCTCCGTTTCAGATTAATTGTAGTTTTAGGATTTTTCACATTTTTTAAGAAAATAGAGAAAAAGACACATATAACCTTATTTAATGATAAAAATAATGTTATCACTAATAATTTATTGGAATTTGGGAGGGATAAAATTGGAAACTATTGTAAAAAACTATCTTGGAAATGTAGAATGACAAATATTTTGAAACATGGAAAATAAACTAAAACTACAAATATTTTGAAACGGAGGGAGTATTTTGTTTCTCCTATCACTAGTCTATCACAACGTGCATATATAGTTACGCGCATGCGCATCTATATATATATTGGTGGGTGTAATTTTAAAAAATTGTGGTAGGTTAGCCACTGATAATATGCAAAATGATAATTAGTAAAAAGTGAAATTCTATACGAAAATTTTATGATTTAATAAATAGTAAAGACTAAATAAAATATGAGATTTTTTTTAGTAATTGGATTTTTTGTTTTCTCAAGCAAGGAGGAAGCCCATGCCTTCATTTTCCTCATCCCGACATTGCAAAAATGTCCATGGAACGAACCACTTGTGGTTTTATCACTACTTATCATCACCCACCACCATATGGAGAAGGAGAACATGATTATTTTAACTTTTTGTATACGATTCGAATAATGAAACCATAACTGAATTAGAAAATAAATTAAATATGTATATAATCTTCTACATCTAAAACTTTACAAAAGTTTCTTTGCAGGTAAATATATATATATATATATATATATATATTTCACTAATGGACTAGAGAGACCATTGTAGTACATAGAAAGTTTTAATTTCTCCATATTTTTAGTTATTTTTATTATAAAAAAATTATATATTACTATCTATTCGAAGTAATAATATCAAAATGGGTATAATTTCAGATTCGTCACCTGCCATCGGTGAGATCACTTATCAGACAAATACACAAAGAAAATGGACAAAAGGTGATAGAACTCAATAGATGATAAACAAAGAAGAAAGCAGTATAATCTCTGATGCCATATTAAGTTCAGATATTTGGGAGAAAATTGACTTACGTCCTTATTCATATACACTCGAGTTTAACAGAATACGAGTAAAACCAGGAAACAGAAGAACAGAACAAAAGTTAAGACCGTACTCTGTAGTTTGTTATAAAGATCTGGTAACGTCTAACAGAAAAATCGAACTTAAAAAAAAAAAGACTGAACGAACCAACTTGTTATGAATCGAATTCATCGCAAATTAGTTCAACGAAATTACAAATTGCCTTGTGACGAATTAGACTAAAAATAATTTTTTATTTTTAGTAATTTTTTTAAAAATATTATTTTTAATTTTTTAATATTTTTATTTTTTATTTGGCTCGGGCGGAACGGACCGAGCCAATCCGTTTTAAATCACTGATACCTCTAACTTAAATAAAACCACATAACTAATCCAATTAGAAAATAACACATAGAATATATACCATTATATATGTAGAGAGAGATCAATAATAAAATATACAGGTGACGATAAATGGAAAATAGAATATATATATATATATAGCTCAATAAATTTTAATTTTTGAAGAAAAAGAAAAGAAAAATAAATCGTACGTATTTGTCAAGTTTGACTGAGGTCTTATTTTAATGACCAAGAATAATAACACTTATTTTATTATGGAGTAAATTATTTAAGTAAAAGAAAAAAATTATTCTTTACCGTTCTTGATTTTATTCTATTCAATGTTAGATCGGATAATGATCATTTCATATCACTTTATACCATCTATTTCACGTGTATATATAGTCTAAATATTACCATAAAATAAAAATTTATTACTAATTAAATTTTATGTTAAATATTTACTACTTAATTTAGTGGATGCAATTTTAAAAAATAATTAAATTAAATGTATGTATTTGTAATATAGTCAAATGCATGCATGTATACATATATGCATTATTTTCCTTTCTTTTTTCGTTTCATATATTCTTATACAGGGGAGAAAAAAATCTTTTTGAATCAAATGAAACTAAGAAAATCTTTTCAAGTGTTTTACTATCATAAAGTTTCCTTCTATATGTCGCATTCACTTAGTTTCTAAACATATGATTATTTATTATTAAATATATCTAAAAACAAACATGACATAATCATTCCATAATTCTATAAATGAGATAACTATATAATCAGTAAACCCTAAGGCGATAAAACAACCAAATTATTTAAGTAAAATATCGCCTTCAATGTATTGTTAAATATAATAAGATACTCCAATGCTCGCAGAATGCTAGTCAATATCCAAGACATTACCATGTATTAATGTGCATATATGTTATGATTTAATGAATTGGATATCTAATTAATATTTTTTACTTTGGCTATATATATATATATATATATATATATATAGATATACAGAATAATATATTATCCCTCTCCAAGTCCAAGAAGATGAAAATGGTGACGCTTTGGTCCTCTGTTTTCTTTTTTTTTCCTCCTTTCTATTATTTTTTAAAATGTAAATAATTTCTTGTCATATTTTAATATGCAGGATTTCAGCTTGATGAAGTTCTACGTTCTTCTAATTGCATCGTCGTATCATTTCCAAACCGGAGATGGTAGAACTATAAATATCATGGAAATTAAGCACAAGAATGAGAGTGGAGCCGCTGATTATTCTCAAGTAATTAAATTTTAATTTTTTTCTACGTTAATTCCAGTATATATATGTGTTAGAATTTTGCGAGAAAATAATAACAATATATATATATATATATATATATGTATATATTGAAAAGGTGTTTAAAGATGCATGGGAGGAGTTATGCCACTCAAAGTCGGATGGCGTACCAACTCTCTACGTACCGGAGAACGCAGCGGTTACCTTACATTCCGTCAGCCTTTCCGGCCC